GAAAAGCGAGAACATGCCAATAGTGACGGCGATCGCCACACTAATAAATTGGCAAACCACTCTGGAGATCCATCATTTGTCCACACTTTATTGGCGGATGCGATGAGAGAGCAATGAAAATGCGGGACCACTTGAGTCCCTTCGGCAAACTAGACAGCTCTCTGTCCATGAAATATAACACTGCACCGAGGGAAGTGGCACTGCGTACTCAGAGGAAGCATTCATTAATCTTCCTCTTTTGTCCTTCATCACTTAATGGATGCCACTTGATTAGAACAAGAGATTTTTCCATCTCACTTCTCAGGACTTGAATTTATTTCTAAACAAGAGTGTATGAAAAAGGAGTTGTAAGTTTGAAATATGACCCGCCATCGGGAAGGAGAGTCTTTCCGGGAGTCATGCGTTGGTGGAACCAGATAATTAGACGTGCAGAGACTCAAGATAATTGATTCGTATCAGCATTACAGACACGATTTTAAATCAAACCATCCCATTAATGATGTTCTCAAAACAAGTACTTCATTTGTTATGTGATTTTGACGACTATGTTTGTATCTAAAGCCAAGTTATTGCATTATGCACAATTACTCTCTATTCAGACTCTCACGAAACCATTAATTGTCCACTCAACTCTAAATGCTAACCACACAATCATTTTCTCATTGATGTCAGTGTAAAATATTTCGAGGTCAGTGAACAGCGCTGACAAAATATGTATTTTGGCAAGTAAAGAAATCTCCTATGTTTTTTTTTCTTTAAATCCGTGTACGAAATATGTTTTGTCTCGAGTCGTGGGACGATGATTACCGTCTGTCTTCACGGTTTTGGTGCGTGACAAAATCACACAAAAGCCAGTCGTCGCTAAGCTGATTTCGTCGGAAGAAGAAGAAGTGAGCGCGTATGTGAGGCAAATATGACGAAAATTGCAATTAGTCTATTGTTGGGTTGGATGGAGAGGCGAAACGAGGAGTTGTATGCTGAGTAAATGGGCGAATTGTCAACAAGATGGGAAAATCGAGATCTGGGTCTCATGATTTGGCAGCTGCTGGATAATATGGAGTGTTTATTCTTTTCCATTCGCCTTATATTCTTTCTTCTGGCAGTGCCTGTGTTATAGGAGGAGCGATAAAAATAAGCTTGGCATTTCATTCGGATCTCACACTATATAAATTGCTGTGTGGATTCAAATCCTCGCAAAATTCATGTACCATCCCTCCGACAAGAGACAGAGATATATTTAGTAGCTTCCTCCGGCAAAACAAAGAGCGGCTTCCCATCGCAATTGCTTTCAATTTTGCATATGTGTAAATGTGTTGAAAATAGAATAGACGGGATTTCCCTGGTGCTCAGGAGAGGACCGGAAAAAAGGGGCTCCGGATGTGTCTGGGCCAAAATTCAATCTTGCCGAATTGCCTGAAAATAAAATAATTTAATCATAATCATGCCCCTTTCCCCTCCCCCCCCCCCCCAAAGCCTCCCCCGCCATCCCCCGACCATGTGAGAAAATCCCGTAAAGAGACGAAATTGAAACCGTATCGATTCACCATTTTCCAGGACGGAAAGCTTTCGGGGGGAGAGATTCATTGATGCCTTTCACCCCGACTTTTCCAGCCCAGTCTTTGGCACGCAAATCCACTTTGCCTCTCAATGGCGTTGTCCTAATGACAGTGAATCGATTCGACACGCATCAGAGATGCGTCTAAACAGGGCAACCACTCATGGATGAAGCCATCAAAAACTATGGCCAGAGCTTTTTTACCACCTCCCATAAGCTTCGCCCGTTTACCGAATTCTCCTCACCGGGATAATCATTTTAGGGTCAGGGCACTTGGCGTCTGCCTTTTACGAGGCCCCATGAATTTTTGTGCACTCTCAGGACGAAAGGTTGATGGAATTATTGGGCGGGATTTATTGCATTTCCTGAACAAGGCCACAGCACAGCACAATTCCCAATGAATTACTAATGTGCATGTGGCTTCTGTTGAGCTTCCTCAGCAAATCACGCAGTGCGTGTGTCAACAAGGAATTCGGGGAAATTTTTGTGACTTCAAATTGCCTGATCAATTAAAATATCGTCAGAGTCCTCTTAAAGTGTTTGAGAGTTTGATACCATTTGCGGTATCGACAATATTCCTTACAATCATTGCTATTTGCAACTCTTAAAACCGTCTTCGATATAATGCTTTTCTCCGTCAGTACTTTGTTGAAGTACATTTTTATTCCACCCGGTAAAAGCTTCATGCATGCGAGTGATCACAAATGGGGTAACTTTTCGAAGTAGTTCTTGATGCTCATTTGCAGTGAGGGTCTTTCTGTGTGAGAAGCACAGAAAAATAACAATATTCCGAAACAATTACGTGAGAGGGATGCGAAAGAAATGTTTCACAAGTTAACTTGTCCCATTTGCCATTAAAATGCTCTTCTCAGCAAATATTATCCGCTTTAATGGCACAAGTAACAACTATAATGCACGCTAAGATGACAAATAAATTTCCTTGGCACTTTTTCCGCTCTATGAGCTTTGCTCCGGGCAAATGAGACACAACATTTATTAAACATCTCGAGTATGTGGTTTGTTATCAATACTTAACGACTTGTGCTGATGCAAACTTGTGTGCCGTTCGCATTTGTATCGGTGGTGAACAAATCACTTTAGGTGTTGCATGGGCAACATTTGAGGCCGTAATTGGTTGTGAGTGTACACTGATACATTATTGATTTGATGCCTCTGATTGCCATCGATCTTCCAAATTGCTTCCTAAAATACTCCTCAAATAGTCCTCTTGGCACCACTAAAAGGCGCTTTTTCGCCCCTCCCTTTGCCTCTTGCATAATGCAATTTCCGCAGAGCTCGTGAATCCGGTTCCAAGGACCAAATTAACGCTGCACAGCACAAGATCAGGACTGGTCTGAGCAAATACATGAATATGGTAATTTCCACTCTGGCAAGTGCTCAAAATGAATTCGTCGCCACCACAAAGAGCGCCACGCTTGAGCCAAAAGCGAGTGGAGTGTTATGGTAGGTCGTCGGCAAAATCAACAAGCTCGCGAGAATTTATTGGGAAGGAAAACACTCAGATGACACACAATTCTTCATCCATTCTCTAAGTTATTTGAGGCTCACCGCCTGCCGAGTTATGCAACCAGTTGTGCCTCATCGAAACTCCTCAGACTAGACACATTGACGCTCCGACAAATCAGAGATCGTCTCTCGCACGTGAATTCCATCGAGAGCGAAAGTGTGATCAAATTGCTTGTTTGTATAAATATTCAATCTGAAGATGTTTCACATTAACCCACATGTGAGCTCGAAACTGTTTTTCAATGACCTCAAAACTCTGCATATGAACTGTGCAGAGTCACTCGGTTCAGCTCTTTGCGTTGAGTGTGAGCGAGTCTGTCGAAAATCATTGATCTAGGGCAAAAAGCATGGAGAGCGAAAGTTGTTTGAAATGCTGAAATTTTGGATTGTTAGTTTTGGACTGAGGCAAAAAAGTCATTTTGACCGAAAGCTCTTCACTGGAGTGCTTTGCTTTATGTTATGACGCAGTGCAAACAGAATTATGCAAGTGGGAGTTTTTCAAGTTGTCCGCAAAGATGATAAATCCAATGGCTAACTTGAACTTTTGAGAAATCCTTCAATCAAACAAGCGTTGTAACAAATGGAACTTGAATACATAGACAATACTGTACAATTTTCCAACACAAGGGGGAGATAATGTCCAAAATCTGTACACTACTTCTTCCAAACACTTCCATAATTCGCATGAAAAATCATTAACACTTCTCAAGAGTCTCAGAACAAGTATTTGAGTGAAAATGACGAATGAGGCCAAAATCAGAGAAGTTATGCAAATGATATATTTGATTATGGTTTTATGTCCAGGATATCAACTGGAAACTAACGGAAATCTAACTAAAATCTAACTTACAATTTCATTACTGACTGCAAATGCGCAATTTTAGCAATAAGTAGAAATAATGAGCTGTACACCACTTTTGACCATAATATCACTCCCTTGTTGGAACATTTGTACTTTAACTACTCTGCTTTTGACTGTTGTTACCATATCTTCTCTTTCTGCAGTCGTCTCTTAATTTAATGCCACTTTGCTTGTTAATCGAGCGCATGCCAGAACCAGAGGTTTGGTGAGAATTTCGTGGTAAGCTTTGTCTCGAAAATGTAGTCAAATTAATGTCCAATATCCTCATGCGAGTGACTGGCTCTGTGCATATGCGCCTCACCTGCTCTGCCCGGGCAGGCGATAGGCCGAAAATGAGTTATCCCTGCCACTCATGGTCATGGCAATAGAGTTAGCAGTTTGCATGCGAACATGAGAGATATAATTCATGCTGAATCGAAAAATAAGGTAAATCTCCATGTGATGAAATCCTGAAATGCAGGATAATTCCTCGCCTGCTAATCCCACCGAATTGCCTCTCATGCAAACCGCGGAAAGCTCACATGAAAGCTCAGCGCTTTCACTATTTCTGTGCACTTGAGCATGAATATATTCGCGTGCTCGACTCTGATTGAAAATTTAATCGTTTATTCGGGACAAAGAAAGGAAAACTCTACCTCAGGGGTGTCGAGATCAGCTCGAAAGTCTCATCCGGGAGAGTGTTTGCTGTGGGGGCGGAAAACCTCCACGAAAGCTCACGTGTGTTTTTGCGCACACTTTTCCCTCCAAGAGCTGTTCACACCTTCACTCTCGTCTCTTGACTTCTCAACTTCCCAGCCAACCACCCAGTCACCCTCCATATGCACTGCTCCGTGTGATTTCCACGATAGATGAGGGCATATGAGAAGTTTTCTTACCAAAACCCACCCGCCGACCCACTTTCGCCCGGCGGGTGGAGAGCCAAAAATTTTACCTGCTCCACAATAAAATTCCACCCACCCTCGGTGCGACACTCCGGCGCAGGAATTCACATATTCAAGGTGGGGCGATAAAAGGTGATATTTAAATTTAATATTGCAACTTTGTCAACTTTTGCAGGTGTCGGAAGAAAAAGTGGAAACGCGATCTTCCAGCCACGAGTGTAATTATTACGTTCCACAACGAAGCAAGATCAACGCTCCTGCGCACAATAGTCAGGTAATTTATTTGTTTCTTACTCTCTGACACTCCTCCAGGAATTATGGTGGGATTTGTATAAACACTTGATGTAGCAGATGAATTAGTTGCACGCCGACACACGTTAGCTAAAAGATGCAATCAATATTACCACCATGCAAAATTCATTAGACGCCTTAAGTGGTTGAGAATTAAATTATTTTGCAAACATCCTCATCTTCTCAGACATGAACACTATCAAACGTGACTATGATTCGAGATTGCTGATTAATTCAATACTCGCAATAATTGACTTTCCAGCTGACTAGGCTATTCAATAATCAACATCAATCAGTAAGCCACACAGACTCTTCCGCTGAAAATGCAGTTAGTCTTTTATGTGGGAGATATCTTAATTCCGCTTGATGAAAACCCAGAACCAATCTAGTGACATCGGAGTGAACTTAATTGGACAAGAGAGCTGGGAGATTGTTAATTAAAATCGATGGCATTTTCCCGCCTACGGCATGAGGCTCATCAAGCGGCCGAGAGGGTTTGCATGGTGCTTAATTGGGCCCACATTAGAAGGCAGGATGCAAGAGCCATGATTAAAAGCCATAAATATGAAAATAAATTCCCCGGTGAGGTCATTTGTGCATGGGCGTGAGGGTGGAACGGCCACAAAAAGTTCGCTTGTATGCATAGTTTGTGCATCTCAATAGTGAGCTTTTTGCCCTCCGCGTGGCTGACAGTGGAAGGGTGAGTGTATATTGAGGGCGAGGGGTTGGAAAAACACCAGAGAGCGACTTAAAACTGATTACAAACTTTTCTTTTATACCAGAACGCTTCAGCGAATGAAAGTCAAGTGTTTCTCATTTAATTCACCATCCGTTCTTTTCCTATTTTTTCCATGCAATGGAGACGAACCCTGAAAAGAGAATCCGTGAGATTACTTGACGAAGAAAGTGGCCAAGGATATTCCTATGCAAATTAATGGAATTTATGGGAATGATGGGGGTGTTTTTTTTTCCTAGCTATTCTTGTCCATTTCGGAGCGGGTCCTTGTAGGGGATGATGGCCTCTTATGGGCGGGGAGAGCAATGCTAAATGTTAAATGGGCGTAAAGAAATTCACCTTTGGGGCCAATTTAGCCCCATGAGACGTCTCCGAGAGGAAAGTCATTGAAAAGGAAAGGTAAATATTTGATCATGCGAGAAATTTGATTGAAAATTTTCCGTGGTTGAATTGCTTGTTGGTGAATTTATTCCGTCCACCCCGTTTTTTGCGCACCCTCTCGAACCCTCGTCTTGGGCAAAACATGAAGTTAATTAACACTAAACTAATATTTCACGGCTTCTTCATGTGCCGTGATGAGCTGTAGTGCCAGAGCAAAGTGTTCATGGCGCCTTTGTGTACCAGGAAAAGAGAGATGATCATTCGATGGAGGGTGTGAGCTTCATCCCACCTGAAAAAGAGCGTGATTTCTCAGCGGACATGACAAGGGAAGCTTTCTGGGGCAAAAAGTTTTATGTATAGGAATCGCCTTTGTTGACCTTTCCACCTCATCCTCGCAACACTTCTCATGTGTTCCCTGCCAACTCGCCTATTCTTGCATAAAGTTTGAAGCTTTGCAGTGGAAAATTCAGCCAGTACAAATAGCAAGCTACAGTTTATACGCTATTACGGCTGCATATACGCAAACAGCTCCCAGGCTCAAGTGGTAATTGAACAAGTTAAATTAACTCGTAATTGCGATAGTTGATGTAAAATCTTGGGTGGTGAGGCGCACTTTCGCGCTTTCTCCGGCTGTTATTTCACCCTAGCAATTCGGTGTGAGGTGAAATCATATAAAAACTTCAAATTGCTTCCCGGCATAGAGTCTCATCTTCCAGGCGCGCGCGGTGTGAGGCTCTCATATCTAAAGACTAACGAATAATTTCTCTGCTTGTGAAAATTTGAAAACTTTCCCTCTCCGGGATTGATAAGTTTATCTTGTGTCTAGCGCCCCGTTCAAGGCTCCGTGGAGATTCAAGAGCCACAGAGGGAAATTTGCATTGCTCTTGCATCACCAGCAACCTTTCAGATGCACACAAACCACAATTGAAGTGCTGCACAACGGCAAATTATTGCAGTTTGTTTAAAGCAAAGAATTTTCTATATTCATTCAAAATCTGAAGGAAATCCAGTGTGGAGAAGATTTGGCATTTCAATCGAATAGAAAGCTCTCTCCGTCAGCCATAGCAATTATCTTGAAGATGATACACAAACTGAAATGTCAGGGAATGAAACCTCCAATTTCCAATGTCTTCCAGTGGGAAATAAGGAAGAGTGCTCATCCAATGTATTAATAATGTGTAAAGTGCCACAAATTGTTTACTCCTATCAAGCAATATTGCCACTGTGAGATATCCCATGTGGACTCCATGCGAATTGCATTGCTTTTGTGTGGATTTAATCCAGTTTGGCATCAGCTATCCCTTGACACTGCTCCTGGGAGAGATCCTCATTTCCTCTTCGTCTCACCAGACAATTGAATTAAATGCGAGAGTGCTGGAGACAAAGTGTTTAATAATCGAATTTATGAATTTTCAACCACCCCCAAACCATCGAACACAGTTCACATGGTGAGGGACTTTTCGATTCGCCTGTCATGTTTGAGATGGTTGAATTCAAAGAAAGTGTACCTAATTTTCTTCCCCCAGCAAAACTTTCTTTTGCCAGCCCTCCAGGAGGGAAGCAAAAAAGGCAGAGAGGCAGAATCGAGAGGGTGGAAACATGTAAAATAGTTTTCCTTTCGCTTCATGTACAAACACACAGTGCATGAGATGGGGTTGGGTGGGGAAAAAAAATCGACAACTCCTGAGAATTTGCAATCTGCCAACAAGTAACTTGAGGATATGTTTGAGAGTATTACATATAAAAGGACTCTTCCTGGGTGCTCCGCCTCACCTCCATACGGAGAATAGTTTTCTAAAAGCTAATTCAAGAGAGTCCACAGACCTTTTTGTTGTACGTGAAGCTATTCCTTCAACTTCAAAGCCCACAATGTCTCGGCAATTTTCTTCTTGGAGGTTTTCTAATTCCACGCAGATTAGTTTTCGAGAACTTCTCATCATGCCGAAAGTTTTGTAGAGTTGCATATTAAATTTCTTTGAGGAGTTTTAACACTTTTTTCTCTTTGTCAAAAGACATCGTTACAATGCAAATTTAGAGTCTTGCAACGGAATTCCTCGAGTCAAACAGGCTCTCTGACGCTTCTCAATGCTTTGAAAGTTGAGGCACAAGTAAAAGCATTAGGGTAATTGAATGAAAGGGTGGCATGGGGAAGTATATGGTATGTAAATTGATGATTCAAGAACCCCAAAGTCCTCATGCTGTTTAACAATTCAATCGACAAACAAGAAACTAGATAAACAATTACACAAATTCGCCGATTTAATTATCCAACACCCCGAAGTCCCATTGTGTGTGTGTGTGTGTGATGTATTCCTCATTCGCAATACGGTCTTTGCCACTGTCACTTTGTATTCCCTGGCAAGGGTTCTCACCCCCGGGGGAGCTGCATTTTTGCCACCACACCACGGGGAGTGTCCGCAATAGTTGCCAGGACTGCCAAGCGATTTGTATGAAAGAGTTTCTCTGCGGAGCATCGCCAAATGAATGAGACATTAATTATCGCGACAAACGAGTACGCTAATTAAGCCTGGGGACTGATAGACGATCGCTGGGGTCAACTGACTCTTGCCATATGAAATGTCCGTGGAGTTCCGCCTGGCTGGTCGCACAAACAGCCACCCAACATCCCCCAATTCCCCGAGTGCTTGTCGATTAGCTCGTCGTCGGGGCCGCAACTGGGGAGACGTCTATTCATATGTTGCTCCTCCGGCCCAGATAAATTCACTCCAATTCCGCATAAACACACGTTCAGTGTAGGTTTTAGAAAGTGGAGCTGCACAGGGATAATGGGGAGTAGCACATTAAATGGGGTTCTCGGCAAAACCAAAGTAGCCACACCACGGCTCTGATGTTGCTCTGACTTGTGGCGCTCAACTCCCCCAACATCACCCCAAAACGTTCGCCCATTTATTTACATAACAAAACGGCAAATAGCAAATGGAGCGAGTGGATACCATCGTGGGGATGCCTCATTCGCCCACTCTTGTCATTACAGCGCCTTCACTCCTTTTCTCAACTGCCCCGCAACTCGAGCCTCCGCTTGTCACTGGCTCAAGCACACCCACCGGAGCCAGAAACCCACCCCCAACCCCCCAGTGGTAAAATTCCCCGCGCGCTGAGAAATTAATTGAGCGCACAAATAGCTGGAAAAAAGTTTCTAATTCATCACTGGATTATCGTGCAAATATTGACAGGGAAAAGGTGACTGTCGAACGCACAAATACAGCTCAAGTAAATATCGATAACTCATCCTGAGGCAGCCACACGCAGACCCTTTGGGGGATGGCAGAGGGTGGGTATCTCCGCAAGAAAGTAAATTTTCAACTTTCACCATCCACTTTCGCGCAGCCAAGTTAATTAACTCTCATATATCACAGGCTCTTTAATTCACAAAATTAACAATTTACTCACCCACCGCGGTTCCGCAACTCATCTTTTGCCCCACTGAATTTTAGGGGATTACAAGAGGTTTCAATATGTTACAAATTGTGCCCCGCGAAATCAATTTATTCTCCGCCAAAGTTGTATTACAAGGTAATTGTCACAAGACCTTTATAAGGAAATGATATGACGCAATATGTGTGTAACTTGTGCGCATAATTTTCTCATTATATATGCAATTAATTTCCCTGCAAAATTTTATCAATAATAAATTCGTTTTACGACCTGTAAAAATTATCGCCAGTTAAATAATTTACATTACGCTCATTTACCCCAGAATTTTTCATGAATGCTCTTTTTGTTGAACTTGCCAATAATGGTGAAAAAGTTGGAAATTAATTAAATATATCACCTACATATTTTATTGGTTCACTTTGCAACTGAGTTATGAATGTTTAAAGTACTTTTTGCCACATTTTGCATACCATTCCTGTACACTTTGTCGCACCTTTAAGGCCAATTTACAGCATGGACGAATTCGGGATATTGATATTTTCGGGAAAATCAATGTGCAAAAGCAACGGCCAGTGAACTAATTACAGCTGGAAGAAACTTCCTCTGCCAAGTTGCTTTTCTCCCGCACAGAAAATACACTTCTTTTCGCACCTTATTTTCCTCTCCTTCTCCCTCTCTCGCATTGGGGGTAGTTTGGAAGCGCCAGAGCCACCTCGTTATCATTTTGCTGTTTGTCTTTTGGGGCGCACATAAGTTTGTTGGACGACAAGGGGGATGGGAAGTCCTGGTTCGGGCACCCTTGCCTCGGAATCGCGAGTGGAAGATCCCAACACTCTCAAAACCCACCGCGCCACACTTTATTTTGTCATTTTGCGAAAATATAAATTTAAAAGATTTCACAAACGACGCTGCTCCTAATGCCAGTGGAACTTTTAAGCGCCACATCTTGGTCCCTTGGCGCGGGTTGGGGTGCTCATGGCTGCAAACTCCGTCACTTTCGGCGTTCTTTGCCCTCCCATGTGGTGTTTATGTCACGACACTTACGCACTTTAATAGCTGTGCGTAGTGTACTTTAGCTATCTCCCTCGGATGGCACAATCTTCGTTAATTTTTTCCAACTTCCCGGGCGACGAAGGACTTGGGGGGACAATCATTCAGCAATCAATGGGCCAGAGTTGTGTGTTCTTCCGGGCTTTTGCCACCAAATCACCGAATCACGCCTAATCTCACAGTAATCTTCACGAAAGCTCGTGGCTTTTGATGAAAGTCTCAATGAAATCCTCTAATATCCCCCACAGAGAATCACCTCAAAGCCCACCCCAACACATCTCCCCATCCCCAAAACACACAGACCGGCAAAAGCATTCCAATTGTCCTGAGTGAAGGCGAAAAAGTGTAAAATGCCTTCAATGAGGTCACGTTCCCACCAGCGTTAGCGTGAAAAGGAGGCAAGAAAGGGAGAAAGTTTAGAGAGAGTAATTTTTCTTATGACTCCCTTTTTTTCCTCGCCAACCTCACACCCACACACAACACTCTATATCTGTTTTTCTTTTCTTTGCAGCGTACTCAACCGCAGTCCAGAGCATTTGATCAAAGAGATAATTTTGGTTGATGACTTCAGCGATCATCGTAAGTATCCGCTTCTTCTTCTACCTCATTTACCCTCCTCAATGAATTTCTTCCGCCACGCGATTTTGCGGCTCTGAGGCGAAAGCCTCCTTGGCACTCAAGTGGAAAGCGCGCCCTGAAAAATGGACCCGAAGGAAGATTATGATTTTATTACTTCACGCAGAGCGCCCTTCATTTCAGCATTGACCCCCATTTTATCATATTATAATATGTATTGAAATGTGGTGCAACATTTTCTCACCATGTCACAACCCTTCTGGACAGCTGTCGCGCCGAAATTTGCCCCAGCTTAGAGCGCACCACATTTTCTGCCTTGGTGTGCGCCTCTTAACGATGCGACCGAGGATCCTTTTTCCTCACCTCTAAAAATGATAATCACCCGAGATGAGAGAATTCCGGTCTCCGGGGCGAGATGGTGTCGTCCCTAATATGTTGCTGGTTCATGGAGTTTCAAAATTTCCATTTCACTTTCAAATTTAATAATAAAAGTTTGTATAAACAAATTAAAACACTCTTATATCCTCTTTAATTAAAATGGTGTACCCTCGTAAATTTACATGGCGGCTGGGGAGTCTCAAGGCGGGGGCGCCCCTTTGCATATACTCGCTCTAGCCCCAGAATCGCAGGCAGGGCGATAAAAAGGCACGCGGTTTGTGGGCTAATTCAACTGTATAGGCGACATTGCCTGAAAATGGCCCCGGATGCTCAGCACGGCATTCCGGGAGGCTATTTTGGTGTCCGCCGAAATGTTGTCACGCATCAGCGCCAATGCCAATTATTCAGGCTCTCAGGTACATCTCACACTCCGCTTCTCTCGAAAATCTCATTTAGTATTCCATGGAAAACATCAAAGCACTTTGCAAAATGGCATGTTCACTCTCAAAACACAAAGATTATTGCGTGACGGGATACTCCTGAAAATCCAACAATTACCTGTTGGAAATGGCGGATTAGGGGTGGGCTTTCGGGGCTAACAAGTAGCTTCAGAGGCGCATTATTAGTAGACTTTGAAATAGCATAATTTAGTATTAATAAACTCCATCGGAAATTGATTTAAAATTGAATACATATTCCGAGAAATGTGATTTCCTCTCTCTCAAATAATTACTCAAGGGGGAAATAATATGGCCAAAGTCTGACTAGGATAAGAGTAGATTTCTGCGAGTAGAATAATGAACAGAAAATCAAAGTTGTGAATAAAATATTGCAACATTAGGAAAACTTCGAAACTTCTTATGATCTCTGTACACCACTTCTCACCATATTATCTCCACCTTGTAATTATTCTACCCTTTGAGCACCTGAGAAGTGTGTCTGGCTGGAGTTAAATTAGAAATCTCATAATGTCATATTTCAACCCCTCGCACGGCAAAATAATTTAGCATCTTGCCGACTCGCACCCATTTGAGATGCCAATCAAATGTGCAGAGTGGCAGAAAGGAGCGACGTCTATATGGGTGTATAAAATGTCAGTGACATAGAAAAACCTCATCACACTCGGTTGACTTTGGAATCAATCTCTCAATCACGGGCCCGTACCCCGAAATGGGTCTCGACTCCATTCCGAATTTAAACGCTTTCGTGGCACACGCATATCATTGGGAAATTTGCGGATCTCATTCGTTTCACGCGCGCTTCTCGACCGCAGGCGGGAAGTTCAACTCATCCCGCATCCTCCGCTGGCCTGTCACACCAACCGCCCAGATAACATTTGTGAAAAATTAGGGTGAGAGTGTGAAAAAGGATTCTGCGATAATCCCACCCCCAAACCACCCGCACGACCTCTCGCAATTTATGACAGAGCAACTTTTCTCTTTCACACGAAACTTTCACAGGTTATTTTCACATCATTCAGAGACCCGGACTGATCTACTATTTATGGAAATTATTTATTTAAGCCACCACATCCATTGTTAATCCTGTCAAGAGCATATTCAGGGATTGGAGGCAATTATGAAGCGAATCAGTGAGCTTAGTCGGAGGGCTTTTGAATATTTCAAATATTATGGCACATTAGGGATTGATTTCCGCATTTTCGGTGCAATATAAAAACCCCACTTTTTAAGATGGTTCTTGAAATTTTCCCTGTGAAATCGGCGAGGAGGAAAGCCTTTAGCGAATTTCCCTCTGCGCTTTCCCAAGAGTCACATGCGACAGCGGAGATAAAGCAGAAACGATTTTTTATGCGAAATAATTATGCCACCCACTGAAAAGGAGGTCGAGAAAAAGGCGCGGATAACGTGAAAGAGGAGAAAGACTAATACTTGGCATAACTTGAAGTTTGAGGTATATATATTCGAATTCTCTGGAAAACATACATTTTCTCCCCTCGAGTCCCGGTTGAGACTGATTCCTATCGGTGTCACTTCCATTAGGAACGACACGATGATTGATCTTCCCCTTTTCTGCCTGAGAGGTGCTTCAGTTTAATCTCTCAGGTGAACTCCCCCGTGGCTGGAATGACGGGACTCTGGCTGTGGTTGTCCTTCGGGGCGATGGATCAAATGAGATTAATCAAACACGTACCGTTTGTGGAAATTCACCCACTTTTTCTTGTCTTTCCAGCCGAAGACGGCCTCGAGCTGGCCAAGATCAACAAGGTTCGAGTGATTCGCAATGAGAAGCGCGAGGGTCTGGTCAGATCCCGCGTGCGAGGAGCAGATGCGGCGGTGGCCAATGTTCTCACCTTCCTGGACAGTCACTGTGAGTGCAACGAGAACTGGCTGGAGCCCCTGCTGGAGAGGGTGGCGGAGGATCCCTCGAGGGTGGTCTGTCCAGTGATAGACGTTATCAGCATGGACACGTTCCAGTACATTGGCGCCTCTGCGGACCTCCGAGGGGGTTTCGACTGGAATCTCGTGTTCAAGTGGGAATACCTGAATCCCAACGAGCGCCAGGCTCGCCTGAAGGACCCCACCGAGGCCATCCGAACACCCATGATCGCGGGCGGTCTCTTCGTGATTGACAAGACCTACTTCGAGCGCCTCGGGAAGTACGACACGAAGATGGACGTGTGGGGTGGCGAGAACCTGGAGATCAGCTTCAGGGTGTGGCAGTGCGGCGGCAGCCTTGAGATCATCCCGTGCAGTCGCGTGGGTCATGTCTTCCGCAAGAGGCATCCGTACACCTTTCCCGGAGGCAGTGGAAATGTCTTTGCGCGGAACACTCGCCGGGCGGCCGAAGTGTGGATGGATGACTACAAGCAGTACTACTACGCTTCAGTACCTCTGGCGAAGAATATCGCCTTTGGCAAGTAAGTTCGCGAAGGGTCGTAAAAGAAAAGCAAATTAGCGGGGAATTTTCGGGGTTTCCAAAAGGCGAATCACTAGAATATTTTGCATGTTTAAATGAGGGAATCAACAACACATAAATTAGTCAGATTGCAAGATTGTTTCACCTTAAACTCTCCACAATAGTTTTGATATATTATTGTGTCAGTATTCCTTACTTACAAACCCCCTGAGATTTTTTCAGAAATGGAAAAATCTCTTCCGTGGGCGACTCAGAATTCTCTCGGCGTGACGATCACCATAAAGTTGACTTTTATTACTTACTTCAACGGCCACCCAATTAATTGTTTCCCGCTTTGCCTGGCTATTTTCCTCGACAATTGACTGCGAAAGTGAGGATGAAATTTAGCCCACACGCCAATCAAACAATGCCCACAAAATATTAATTGCCACCAGGGTGGCTTTTTTACCCGCGCAGGACGTGAAATTTAATTTCCGCGCGAAAGGTTCTTCGGCGCGGTAAATTCTTGTAAGCCCAGCGCGCAAATGAGAAAAGTTGCCGCGATAAACACACGAATGCAATTAAACTGCATGAAATTTCAATGTGACAGCAGAGGGTGGGGTTTTTAATTGCCCAATTGGGTGTTGGAATGGAATAATTAAAGTGCGACAAAAAGTCAAGAGTCATCACTGAAGCTGATCGATATCCTGGCTGTTTAAGAGTGTTCAGGAGATTGTTTTGGGTATTTTGTGTGTGTGTGGGAGATTTCCTCGTCGACAAGCTTAAAGTGCTGGATGAAAAGATGCCTTTGCCTTATCAATTTAATTGACAAGTGAGAGTACGAGGAAAGATTTGCACATTTTACGTCCCTGGTGGCAGAATATTTATCATCATGTGCGGAAATCATCTCTCACTGTTGGGCCATAAAACCATAAAGATGGTGAATGTGAGAGCAGTGTGAAAAATTACCATTTCGTGAATCCCATGCGTAAAAGTTCCACCGTCGAGTATATGTGTGGGAAAATCCCGCTTGAGAGGCGCGCGATTGAAGAGATAGATATTGAAAGCGATGGCCGATTAATCTTCTAACGTCTTTGCTTGCAGCATCGATGATCGAATGGAGCTGAGGCGAAAGCTCCAATGCAAGCCGTTCAAGTGGTATCTGGAGAACGTTTATCCGGAACTCGTGGTGCCAGAAACTACTGCGCTGGGCAGCCTTAGGCAGGGTCCTTACTGTCTCGACACGATGGGTCATCTCACAGACGGGACTGTTGGTGAGTTGAAAGCTTTCGCTGAGGCTCTCAGAATTACTACAACTTCCTGCTAATGCTCGATGTTTCAGGTCTGTATCAGTGTCACGACAGCGGCGGCAACCAAGAGTGGTCCATCACGAAGCGCGGTCAGATCCGTCATCACGATCTCTGCCTCACTCTAGTCAATTTCGCGCACGGCTCGATGGTCGTGATGAAGTTCTGTGATGACTCAGAGAACCAGGTGTGGCGGACGCGAGACGGTGGACTGCTGCAGCACTCCAAGATCAATGTGTGCCTGGACTCGCGTCACGTGCACGAGAAGGGCGTGTCGGCGGAGCGCTGCAACTCTGCCCTGGAGTCGCAGCGCTGGCGCTTCCAATCCAAGTACTCGTCATGAATGGGGCCTCCGGCCGCCCGCAAGCGACGCCGCGCGGCCACGTCGCGATTGTGATTATAATCCCAGCACTTCCCGGCCGTCGCTCCGGCGTCCAAGAGACTGCGACGGCGTCTCTCAGGCGAGTTCTGACGAGTGCCCACAACACAACCATTTCCAGCAAATCACATTCAAATGGACGGCTACCCTTCTCGGCACCGTGATACTTAGGCAAAGACACCTTTACTCCCAAACTTCGGGACATCCTCAGTGTATAGACAATTTCCCCCAGTTAAGGATAAGACTTATTTATTGTATTGTCTCTTTTATCAAAGACCACAAAAACTATATCGAATGTTACCCCAGGACGCTCAGAAGGACATTCGAGGCGCTTTTTCACTCTTTCAAGCAATATTTTTGATCATTTTTCCACCTTCTCCACAATTTTTGCTGCTTCACGACCGGCAAAGGCAGACACTTTTCACGATGACGATGAGAAATTCACTGCATAAGTGATGATTTTCGTGATTTTATTGAAATCTTTTGAATGAAACATTGCAAAATCCCTCACAAAGCCAAATATTTCCCGTGCAATTCTACACAACGCGCAAGCTAAGTACTCAACTACCAACTGCTTTACTGAAACACCCTTCAGGCTTCCGGCTAAGGGTGTATTTTGCTGAATTTTCACTAGGAAAAATCTCAAATTGAGCATGAGAATGAATTTTTCAAGCAACAATTCATCGTGAGTGTAACGAAAAAGCTCAACGGTGTGGATAAAATCACCCTTAATCACGAAAATTGGTGATGCTGGTATTGGAAAATGATAAGAGCATTAAAATTTGAGGGTGGAAAAATGCCTCGAAAGCAGCCTTCGGCAAAGGCAATATGTTTTCTTTCATAAAAAATGAACAAGTGAGTCAATTTGCTAAGTTTCTAGTTCTCTTATATATATATAAAGTATGAAATCGCGAGGGAGAATTTTTGTACATAAAATTCACACATCTATATATAATTTTCATATTCAGTTATTCTTCCTATAGCATAAGAACAGCGACGAAGAGATGACGGAGCGAAAGCTCAGGAGACAGTGAAGAGCATTAAATGCAAAATTCATATCCTGAGTATTAGAATACTGAAATTATTGTTTCACATCATCCCTCCGTTGAAATCTCCGTGAAGACTCATTGAAATGCATTATATGGACGCGATGGGATCTCCTTCCGCACTTTTATCTCTCATTTCTATTTTAATATAAATATGTATTTATGGACGATGAGGCGGCATAGCGCAATTCACCCAGTGGAGCGATTCTATATAGCATTTATACATGTGGAGAGATGTTAGGTGAAGAAATTTATTGTATAAGCAAACACAGGCTGGAGAGCATTATGTGGATGTGTACATGGATTTGCGGAATGTGTGGGTGAATGGTGAGAAAAATGCCCCCAAGAGTCATCATCCCCTGAAATCATCTCGAAAGCAACGTGTTAATCGGCCATTTAACCCTCTTATTGGGTGCCACACGATGGCCGACAGGGTGAAAAACGTGCCCCCAAGAAAGGGTGCCTCCGGCCAAGCACAAATTCCCTGGACCACCCACTGCGAGGCGCCCCACAAAGTCATCCCCTTTGTCTGTAATTGTGAATATTAACTTTCCACACGAGAGGCGTCCCTACATTCCCCCCCCCCCTCTGAAACACGTCACACAAAGTCCCCCCGGCGGAGCGACCCCAGCCCAGCGGCAGGATTGTACTTAATACAGAAGGAGAAGACGTATAACAATAAATACACTGCGAGTCAATGTAAAGAAATAATTGAGTGAATTTTTGTATAAATAGCTCGTGGATTTATTTATCATCTCGGAGATGGATCTCTCACACCCCCGGAATTTCTCCTGAGAGCAAATTAACAAACCGTGGAATGTCTCGGAAATTCCATTCTGCTGCCCCTCGTCGTATCATTTCAGGGAAATCCACCGTGAGGGCGGAACTGTCCCTGTAATTTGAATGACCTCTAAAGAGGAGGAATTTTATCATTTTCCCGGGGAACATTTCGGGGCTCGTTATCTTTATGCAGAGTGTCTCCATGAATTCCTAACAAGGAAAAAAAATATCGTGTTGGCTTTATTACATTTTATCCGCGTCCATATTTTAACTCCGCCCACTAATATGCCCCACCCAATCACATATAAATACCCTCTAACACTCTGTAAATTCTTCATTGATCTGATCAAGGAGAAGACTTGGGAGAAGATGAAAATAAATTCATTGAGTTTCCATCTGATATTCCCAACTGAAAACTGTTTTCTATGGGCATCTTTTCCGACCATAACCTCAACACTTCCTCTTCCTAAGATTTCCGCAGAATTGTACACCACTTCTGACTATATTATCCCTCGCCTTGAATCTAATAAAAAAACAAATATCAATAATTCCATTTCATTCATTTGTTGTCATTCTTTTTGAGAATTGTTAGCAAAAATTGATAGAAAATGTATTCAAAATCATTACTTTCGCCACAAGAGGCGAGGCTTTTAATAAATTAGAAAATCGGATGAAGTATGCAAGAGAGGAGAAGGAATAGCCTTCCATTGGCAGACAAATTGAGAGCAATCTATTTTGCGCCATAAAACTCAAGTGAAAAAGGAGGAAATCAATGAGCTTCCATCTGCGTCAGATGCTCCATACCGAAAAATATTCCCCACAAAACGCTCCACTTTATAGCTCAACAACCTCGTGAGAGAAAATGAGAAATGTGGCTTTGGAGGGAAAAAAAAGGAGGGCGAGAAGCAGCAGCAGCGCAAGATAATTTACGCCGCGTTGAATCCACCGACAGATTGAGAGTGCAATAATGTACAAAATTTGTGTAATGGATGAACCCTCTCTCGTATTTCTCAGCCGCGCGGGAAATTCATAGGATCATTAGACGAATGACACACACTTTATGGGTTTGATATTAGAATCTTGCAGAGATTGCAGGCGAATGGCAGCTGACTCCGCTCATTATTCTTGCGTTTTCCCACCCTTCGGCCTCGCCCTGGACAAATTGTACACAGTTTTCTCGCGTCTGCGGAGTGTTGGGGAAAAAGAGCCTCAAATACTGCCACAAACATGACATTAAATGCTACTCAAAGGCAGAGTTGACACGGACAGTGAAGATATCGCCAGATGAAGATGCGATTGCCGTTGAAAGCACACTTCCGACGAATCCAAAATGACGACACTTTTAGCACAGAGTGTTTTCCAGGAAGTTGAGTAGAAAGGATTGTATATAAGTAATTATTAGGATGTAAATAAAGTTAGACAAGATGCTTGTAGACAATGATGAGGAATGTAAACGTGACTAAAGAGGCAGTGATGCTAAATACTCAATTAAATGCTGTAAAACAATCGTGTCAATAAATCAAATGTTGAAAGGTGAATCGTTAGATAATCAATTTCCTATCATTTAATCATACTTCATTAGCCTAATTCCCTGTACTTTTAAGTATTATGGATATAATCTCATGTTTATGATCTTTCAAGGCAGAAAAAGAGCAAAAAAAAACGATTAGAAGGGAAAATAGCGAGATGACAACTTTTGTAAGATATTGAATAAAAGAAATATACGAATATTGAAAAGGATTCACGCTTTTACCTTCTTTTTATTTGCCTTCTTGATCTTCTCCTTCAATTTCTTCACATCCACTTTGTTCTCCTCTGCCTTGTCTCTCTTCTTCTTGGCCATTGGCTCCTCTTCCGGCGGCTGGAAGTCCTTGTTGCGCCTCTCCTCCTGCTTCTTCGCCGCCGCCTTCTGCTTCTCATCGCGCTCCTTCAATTTCTTGGCGCGCTTCTGATCCTCCTTGAGGAAGTACTCTCCGGACGCCAGTTGCTTGTCGATCTTGCTCTCAGGCTGCGGTGGCGGGAAAGGTGTGTACTCCTTTTTGGGCTTCTTCGACTTCGGCTGCTTCCGCTGGACGTTCTTGCTGCGGAACTTGGGCAGGAATCGCGTCCAATCTTCACCATTTAATTTCGGATCCTTGGCCAGTTCGCGCTTAATCATCAGGGCTTTGATATTGTAGATCGGATGGACGTTGTTCATGGTGTCAATTACAATCTCCCGCACATACTGCAGACCTCTGTAGGGGCCCAGGGCGGACACGGTGTTCCCCTGAACCATCACATAGCAATTGGTGAGGAGTTCTATAGACTTAAGCGTCGCTCCATTGGGGCCAATCAATCGCTGACGTCTCTTCACGAGCTTCTCGCGATTCCGACAGATTTTGCCTATCTGAATCACATCACATCCCACTTCGTCCTCCAGCACGCGTTGCGCCTGCTCAAATGGGACACTCCTGGCCAGCAAGCGAATCATGTCACGCGCCTTGATGATGATGTATGGATCCCATGTTTTCCGCGTAGTTTTCACCACCATACTGCCCTCAATCAAGTCCAATTCCGCCCGAATCTGATGCCCCTCCAGGCACTTCTTCACCAGAGGCCAACACTCTTTGAGATACTTCTCTCGGTACTTGGGAAACAGCGTGGCAAAGTAGCTCTCCTCCAGCAACCCGTTGGGATTGTCTTCCGGCTTGAATTCGGGAATTTTGAGACTCCACGCATTCTCAACGGGTCCAGTGGGTGGTGGAGCTTCATCCTCACTACTTGACATTGCCAAATGACACAAATTACGGTGCGAAATTAGAGATTTCCTCAGGAACAACACTTCCTCGTGTTTTTGTTTTGACTTTTCTGACAGTCACGCGAAGCGGAGTGAAGTTAGCTGAGGACCATTTGGGCTGCGTATATCTCAGTTCTGTTCATAACTGTGGAGGGAATTGTAACGGAAAAACTTTATTCTGAAAATAAATTGGATGAATTAGCACAAATAAGAGACGATGATTTATTAGAAAAATCTGATAATGCAAACATTATCTGCATGTGTTTGCCATTAGTACACCAGCTGAAATCTTGCGATAGCTTTTGATCCCACAACTGATTATGAGGAAATCTTTCACAATCGCACGATAAGAGTACTTTTAAATCTAACACTCAATTTGCATATTAATAGATGGGAAAATCGCTTAATAAACGTTTCCTTAGTTGGACCACTGTGAAAACAAGTGCAGAGATAAAGAAGCACAAATATTTTCAAAGCATTTTCCAGTTGATGCTAGAAACATGTATTATTATTCTTCGGAGAAACATTAGTTTCTTTTATACTTTATCAAGAAGAGAAGTTCAAAATTTCAAAAATTTTCCATTCACCCTTCTTGTGAAGGTGTAGAGCTAAAAGTTGTTGCTTAATCTCCAAAGATTGCAGAAATGCCTTTCTTGGCTTTCATGTGAACTCACTGTTGATCTTAAAACCCTTTTGGAGTGAGATAATGGGAGTCAAGCTGAGCTGAAGGTTCAATTGTACGGTTTGTACCGGTAAATCCACAGGTAAGCATTGTTGAAGGGGAATCGCATGTCCTGGACAAAATCCACTTTATCACCTTATTATCCCCGATATCTAATCAGCGTAGCGACAGAGAGAATATTGAGATATGTTTCTTTGATTTTGCAGTCAAATCTTATCGCGCTGCACTTAAACATTCCCGGGGAAAAAAATCCCTTTTAAAAACCATAAACAAACTGTTTGGGAGGATGTGGCTCAGTTTTTGTCTGATAAAGACATGAAAATCTTCGGGCGGACAAAAAATTGTCATTTAATGAATGGAAAATCCTCAAATTTCTTCTCGTCACTTTGACCTTTAATAGTATAGAAGCCAAAAACACGCGGTCGCATCACGATGTGTTTTCATTTCCTCCGCATGAATCCCAAATGAAACTTGGTCACGATTATCGCACCGCCGAAATTTCCAATGTAAATATGTTATCAGGGGGCGTGATTCTAAGCATTCCACATGGTATTCATCCCCACCATTGCAATCATCATTCCCTCATGATTGTTTGTCGGGAGTGAAAAGATCCCATTTGCGGGATTCGTGGAAAGAGCGCGTCAGGAGATAGCATATGGATTTTGCGACAATCAGCCTCACCAAATATAATTCTCATTCATGTATCATGCTTTAACCTATTCACATTGGGAAAAAATGCTTTGGTGATAACCCACAAGACAAAAAATGTGCCTCCGAGACGCAAATTTGATTGTCGAGGAAAATTTCAAAACGACTCTCTGCAAGCACTCCTCAGTCGGCAAGGAGCATCCCTGGCGAGTGGTCAAAGTGTCGCATTAGAGACGTTGTGACATGTTGCCTGAGATTCTGGCTGATCTGTGACCTGTGCCTTAGGCCAAATGGCTCTGTGACCAGCATTTGATAGTGATCTGCAACGCAAAATAGTTTATACACGCATCACAGCTTGCGCACTCCTGTAGTTCAAGGCGCAATCTCGTGAGATAAGCAAGTGATACTTTCATATGTGGATCAAATTTCTCTGGCTCAAGACGGTGATAAAGTGCAAAAGTGTGATAAACTCAGTAGAAAATGGCTCTGGACTTCGTGGCAGGATGCTTAGGGGGTAAGTCAGGGACGTTCAGGGCCGAGGAGAAGCTCCGCTATCGCTCAACTCATGCCTCAAGATCAAGGGTGAAGTGTTGAGTGATCTTCGCGCCAGAGAGAAAGTAATTCTCTACACATATTATTGACCACACAATTATATACATCTTGCGCAGAGCTTTTCAATCAATTTACGAATTCCAAACAAGTTCTCTAAAATCCTTTTTAGCTGCATAAAATCTAAGTAAAGCGAATTAATTATTGAGGTGCAATTATCTGAAAATAATATTATATCACCCTAAAAGCCAACTCCTTTACTCCTTTTCCCCTGCAGGATGTGCGGGAGTGCTGGTGGGACATCCCTTCGACACTGTTAAAGTGAACTTACAGACACAGGACTATCGGAATCCCCAATATCGCGGGACATTCCACTGTCTGAAGACCATCGTGGCCCGAGATTCCGTTCGAGGACTTTATCGCGGCATGGCGAGTCCCATGTCTGGCGTGGCTTTCGTCAATGCCATAGTCTTTGGGGTGTACGGCAACGTTCAGAGACGTACTGCGGATCCTACCTCGCTGCGATCACACTTCCTGGCGGGAGCGGCGGCTGGATTGGCACAGAGCGTCGTCTGTTCACCGATGGAGCTCATCAAGACCCGCCTGCAGCTCCAGAGTGAATCATCCCCGGGTGGAAGGGTGAAGTTTAAGGGGCCACTCGATTGCCTGACGCACATCTGGCGCCACGAAGGACTGCGAGGAGTCTACAGAGGACTGGGCATAACGGCAGCCCGAGATTTGCCAGGTGAGCAAACATTAAAGTGGGCTTCCTGGCCCTCTAAACTCATTACGCGCTCTTCCAGGCTTCTCCTCATACTTCATCTCATATGAGTTGATGACGAGAAGTACACCAAATCCGAGTGCCTTCCACACACTCATGGCCGGAGGATTGGCGGGGACTTTCTCCTGGATCTGCACTTTCCCGATGGACGTGGTCAAGTCGCGGATACAGGCAGACGAGAAGGCTTACAAGAGCGTGATGGATTGCGTGGTGAAGAGCTATCAATCAGAGGGAATTGGCTTCCTATCCCGAGGATTGGCGTCCACCCTAATCAGGGCGTTTCCCATGAATGCCGCGTGCTTCCTCGTCGTCACGTGGATCCTGAATCTGGCCAGAAAGCACGACACCACAGATGGTGTCCAGATACAAATATCTCCAGCGCCAGAAGCCCTGCCGATCGTCAATCAAGTGCCGAAGATCTTCATAAAACACCACGATTCGCTCCATCACCACGAGTATCGCCACAAGAGCAGCACCATCCGCAACTACGTGGTCCTGGCCGCTTTCCAAGAGGCCATCTGCGACGACGAGATCGCAGAGCTCATCAACGACACCTTCGAGGCGCACAACGAGGGCTACTATCTCTGGGACACTGGCACAGATTTATCAGAATCTTGAACTTCACACTCGGGGTGATTTTTTCGGTGCTTATTGGAAGTTCATTCCGCAAAGTGTGTGTGAATGTGTGTGGGAAAAAAGACTGATAAAGTGATGATCGTGGAGTGAAAAATTGTACAATAAAGAAATACATTTTTACATTTTTTAAATTAAATAAGATTAGAGATTTGCAGAGTTTCGCAATTTGTGTCAATAAATGATTCATTTCAATTTCTTCACTCTGTATTTTTCACCCTTGCATTCTGTATTAAGTTCAAATCTATATAGTGATCAAATCGACACATCACACGATTTCGTGACAAAAGCAATAAATAAAACATTGATAAATCCAAAATTGCAGATCAATTATTCTTCAGTGTCTGGATGATCTTCGTGAGGGGGAATTTCTGTTGTGGAAAGTCCGCAAGGAGATTTTCCATGAGATTCGTGAGATGTTCCTGCACCTCTCGCTGCTTCTTCATACTCTGCTCAATGGTTGCCTCCGCTCGACACTTGGGCAGCACTCTGCCCGTGGCCAGGGCCTTGAAACGCCGCGCCCGATGCTGCTTCCTCACAATTGTCTCCAGATTCTCATGCTTTAGCAGCATTCCTTCGCCAATTTCCTGGTCAAGCAGACTATTTTGGTGCTGCTCAGCTTCCAACTCCTGACACTTCTTGGCAATCTCCTGCTCCAGATGCTCCTGCTGCTGCTGATTGCCAATCAGGCTTCTCTCAGTGCACGTGATCTCACCATTCACCTGCTTCAATTTAATCTGCATCTCGGACAACTTCTGCTGCACATTACTCTTTAACTTCGCTCGCCCGCCGTGCAATTTCTCCTTCACAGACGCCTGAGTGAAGATATTCTCTCGGTGATTGATGCAATTGTCCATGTCCTGCATCAACTTCTCCTGGGCTTTCCGCAGTTGAGCATGACGCACTTCCATCCGATGGATCTCTGCCTTCATGTGGCCAGTTTCACTCTCAGCTGACGCTTCCATGTCACTGCTCTTCTTCGTCTCCACCGCCAGTCGATATTTCGTCTCCCAAGCGAGAGCTTCGCGATGCTTCTCAATCATGAGATCCTTCGTCTCATCAATCTCCACGCCGAGCTCCTCAATTTCTCGCTGCAGCTGCAGAATGGACATTTCGGCTTCCTTCAGTTTCGCCGTCAGAGCTTGATGACTGAGGAAGCATTCCTCCTCCTCGTGATCATGTCCTTGTTGCTCATCAAACAATCGTCCACTGAGGAGATCCAGACGGGAATGGAGTTTGCCAATCTCTCGATCAGTCACACGATCCTCATCCGCCAAATGTTCAAGTTCCCTCTCGACTTTCCTGCACTTCTGGTCGATGATGAGAAATTCTGGAAGAAAGACAGATTAAAGCATTCTCTCTGGCACCCTTCGTGAAGATTCTTACGCTTTCTGGCCAAGAAAATCTCATTGGTTTGATGAGAGCGCTTCTCTGTCAGATTAACCACGTGTCCCTGAAGTTTCAGCCAGAAGTTCTGGACACTCTTGATTTCTCCATCCATTTCCTCAATTTGCTTCTGAAGACTCAAAAGCTTCAGCTCATCGGGATTCCCCTCTCGACCTCCGGCAGCCGCAATCTTCTCATTCAGCTGCTTCACCAGCAGATCCAATCGGCGCTGGTGGGATTCTATGGTGCCCAAGACATTTTTCATCTCCTCCTCCTGCTCATTAGCTTCCATTTTCATTTCGGTCTCCTTCCCTTGAAGCTTTTCAATCATCATCTGGTGATTACCCACAATTCCACGATATTTCTCCAAGTCCAGAAGCAGAATGGACAATTGATTCTCTGTGCTGGATAGCATTATCTCTGCATTGCGACGTTTCTCCTGGATTTCCCGCAAATCTCTCGCGCGATACTGTCCAACTTTGTCCGTTGTGATTTGATTCTGCAGGAGTTCCAGGATTTTCTCCTCCAGTTCCACCTTGCGACCGGCTTGCTTCTCAATTCGGCTGCTCACACCCTTCAATTGACTCTCCAGAAGGATTCCTTCTACCTTTGCCTGCTTCAAATCTGACTCCGTTTGCTCGAAAATCGAGGACTTCTCCGCAATCTTCTCATACAATCTCTCATAATCCTTGTCTTCGCGCGTCAATTGTCTCTCAAGAGCCCTCACATCTCCCTGGAGGCGATTGCGAAACACGTTCAACTTGTGGTTCTGGATTATCTGCTTTTGGATGGCCTTATTTGTGGCTTCAATGAAGCCCCGCACTTCCTTCTGCCTCTGATACTCAAGATTCAGATCGTTTTGCACCATTGCCAGCACCTTATCTCTCTGCTGGATGGCTACGATCACTTCGCCCCATGTTTGGGTCATTCTCTTGTGTTCTTGCTGCAGAATCTCCAGGTCCGCATTCGAATCCACCAGACTCTTGTTCAGCATTTCAATTGACTTCTCCTGCTCCTGAATCTGATCATTGATGCTGCCCAGCTCATTCTCACGGGACCGCACATCCGAGTCCAGATGATAGAGGAACAGTTCCATCTTCTGGCCTTCCTCCATCTTCACCTGACGATCTCGATTGTCCTTGCTGGCGATTCTCTTGGCCACGGTCACCTCATCCCTTGCCTCCTGTGTCCACTTGGACATGTTATTCTCCAGCACCGTGAGATTGTCCAACTCCACGAGTCTCTGACCATGAATCCTCTTCGCCTCGCGCAATTCTGCCTCCTTCTCCAGGCATTCTTTCTTCAATGCCACACAATTGGCACTGATTTTCTGCCTCTTCTCACTCACATCCTGGATACGCATCTCATAATCCTCCAGCGATACCCTCTGCTGGGCAATCTGCTGCTGCAAATCATAGAGAGCCGCGCCCACTTCCTGGCGCTCCTCACTCTTCACCTTCAGCGAGTGATCCAAGACGGAAATCTCACCCAAAAGCTGCTCCTGAATTCGCAACAAGTGACTCTTGAGGTTCTGCTGAAAGCGCTCGAGCAGCGGATGATCTTCGGGCAAGATTGCCTCCAGACACTCCAGCCCAGGGACATTTTCCAATTTTTCCACTTGGTTTTCCATTTCTCACACACACGAGCTCGTTACAAAGTTGTTTGATCAATTAAATCCGTCGCACCTCCTCATCAGCGCCACCATGCGCTGAGCAACTCGAAACTCATTCGAAAACACTTTTCAATAACCGCAATGAGAAGAAGAAGAAGAAAAGAAGTTGAAAATAGCCAGTTTGGGAGATGCGCAGAAAAATCACGATTTTAACTGGTTTTTAGTGTGAAATACTGGAAATCTGTAATATAGAAAGGAATATTTTGATCCCGCTGCGTCTGGTGCAGATATTTTCTCTGGATCTGTCCCAAAAGAGTGAGATTTGTTAGGTGAATTAGGGATTCAGCTGGCGGTGGAGAAAGAAACAGTCTGGTAAACATTTGTTTCCTGTTGGAATTTATGCAGAATCTGAACCGTCAAAACTCCCCAGAATTCAGGGAATCCTCTCAGCATGGCTAGGGGTGGCAGAGCTGTACAAGATATGCGAATGGAGGAGGAGAAGCATCTCTCAGATGTGGTGTATTTTGGGCTCTACGCGCTCACGAAGGCGCGCAAGCCGACTCGTGAATTTGAAAAGATCTTCAAAAAGGTAAGACCAACTCAGAAAATGTCCAATTTCAATGAATATTCAGTGCGTCTGTGCATTCTTCCCTGGCAGGATTTATTCTTGAAGCCCAATCAAGGGGCTCTGATTCATGTGATGCACTTTCTGTTCACGATCTACGATTCAGAAGACTTCCGAAAACGCTTCTTTTGGCCACTGCACAATGACCGGGAGGCTGAGAAAACATTCCGGTAAGTCCTGCTGAGGAGGTCTCATGAGATTTTGCTGTGATACTGGATTCTCTCTCCACAGGGCCACGTGTTTGACTTACTTGCTGGAGCTCAATGAGCGATTCAATCTGCAGATGGTGGATATCTCGACGTACATTTTTCTTTTTCCGGGCGGATTCAAGTTCCTAAAGATCATGGAGAAGCTCATCAAGTTCATCACCATTGAGGAGGTGAAGAAGCGCAATGAGGGCGGTCTTCTCGATGAAATGACCGTAGCTTTGGGCAATAGAACTCTTCGGCAATTGGTGGCGCAAAAGGAGGCTTTGGATAAAATTGCGGGGGAAAAAATGGATTTCTGTGCATCAGAACAGCAGCGGCTCGAAAACACCCTGGATGATTATCAGAAGAAAATCGAAGCTCTAGCAATTGAGAATGGGATGACGAAGGATTATTTGCTAAGTGAAGAGTTTCAGGCCAAAGAAATGGAGAAGATACAGCAGAGAATTGAAAAAATGATCCTTATGGTTGATTCTAGTGAGCGATATTGTGAGAACTTGAGAGAGTTGAAAAACAAGATGAAGAACATGAAGACACCAATTATTTCCACAAATCTCATCCAGAGAACGGAGGAAGCAGCTTCCAAGATCTCCAAACGCTTTCCGGCTATTCTTGATGACTTTGGAGATAATGGCTTGTCAATTGATGGCAAAGTCAATGTGAATTTCGTGGGGAAACTCACAAATTTCTCTCTTCCACATCTGCAGAAGATCCTTGTTGAGGAGATTGACAGAAGAGCTCCAACAGTAGCTGAAGAAACTGCGACGTATAATACTTTGGCAAGAAAGATGGTTAAAATGTCCGTAAAGTTGAATAACATGATGATGAGCAAATCACAAGACTGTTTTCCAGATGATAGAGAGACGGAGAACGTCATTGCAAGCACTCCTGGCTTCAAATTTAATAATCAACCCACGATGAAGAGCCTGGAGAGCAAACACCTGATCTTCCAAGACTGTGATGTGGCTGATTTGCAGCAGTTGCAACTGAATCAGCTGCATGAGAAAATGAGCGCGCCTGGAAGACTGGGAAGATCCAATGCGTCCTTGATCACTTCATCCATGAAAACTGTCGCGAAGCCGAACAGAACTCTTCAATATGACGCCTTGAGCGTCTTGGCATTGACGGAGAAGCGACCGAAGGCGAGGAAAATGAATGCTGTGCCTCTGGATCTCTTCTCACACCACAAAGGGAAGTCAGGTGCGCTCAATCATCTGGACTTTGAAACACCCAATGTGTCCTACAGTCAAACATCGAAGATCAGCATCGATGGTCGCTTGCCGCTGGGCAGTTCTTCGATGATTATCGGCAGTGAGAAGGAGATGGAGAGAACTGCATCTCTGACCAAGTACGAGTACAGTCCGAGTCCTGGGCCAAGTCATCGTGCAGATGAAGAAAACTCCCCATCTGGATTCCTGAAACCGCCTAAAGAGACAATATTTGCGATACCAAAACTCGTTTTTGATGGCATTCAGGAAGAGAACAACAGTTCGCAGAAGGCAAATAACTCTTTCGAGAGCCTTTTTCCTCAAATCGTGAAAGAAGAGGAAGAAGAGTCTCTGTTCAATATCTCCGATGGAGTTCTTCAAGACGTTGAGTAGCAGAAGAATACGTAAATATCGCGCCAAAACTGCCAATATTTGTAAATTTCGCTTGATTCAGTTGATATATTTGAGAAGTTTATAAGTATATCACATGATTCCCAAGAAATAATAATAAAACAGAAAATGAGATTATGATAATTTTATGCGAAATCAAGTTTATCTCGAAACACTCTTCCCGACTCAACTTTTTCGCATTTGTTCTTTGTTCTCTGGAGCAATTAGATGACGAATCACTCTTCACGCGAACAATTAATATAGCAGATCTTTTTTTCTCTCTCTCTCATAAAGCACGTCGGCAAATTTATATTTTTTCGTTGTCTCAGCGCCGTAACTACAAACAAAGCGCCAAATATTCACGAAAATCCCAAATTCACACACAAATTGACGACGTTTCGCATGGGGTTATCGCAAAGCGTGCGAGAGATGCGGAATTGTGACTTGTTCTATACTACAAACGCTACAAACAGTTGTTCTCAAACTTTTTCTCAAGCACACGCAAGATGAGACGCTGCAGAAAGTTCACACTAATTGAGCTAGAATTTGAGGTATGTGTGACAGAAATTTAATTTGCGCGTGAGATGAGAAGTGCGATCACAGGTGTTGAGGTTTAACGACCTGTGGCAATTGGGCGAAATGATGCGAGAATATGCTCCCATTTGCCCACAAATTTCGATTTTAAGTGTCTGCAACTTATTTATAGTGTGACGACACTCAAGTGAGGCCAATCATTTCTTTGTACACTCGTTTATCCACTTCCCCATTCATTGACAAATCGAATTATGAATGATCACACAGCATTAAGATTGAGTTTGTGCTCGCGAGACTCGCCGTACTTGAGGCACGATCGTGAAATAGTCACCGGCAGTCCGCGACGTGGTGCACACGCTCTGTCGCCGCTTCCTCTCGTGAGCAGACTTGTGAGCAGCGATTTTTTTTGGCACAAGCAGTGCGAAAAGTGAGACGTGGAAAGTTCTTGCAGTGCTGTTGGCAAAATTTGTGGTTTTATTACAGTTTAATGGTAGAAGAGATCTTTGATTATTGATTCGAGAGAAAGAGAGAGAGTCTGTGTTTAAATTTAGAGAGACCCCAATATTTTACAACAGTTTTGTGGCAAAACTATTGTCCTCAAATCACTCAAATCGATACGAACTTGCGAATACATAAAGATTTGTCCAGTTTCCGGATATTCAATAGAAACTTCCTCTATCTTATTGAGCGCCTTTGTGCTGCTTTTTCAATATTATTGTTTGCTCCATCATTGAATGTGATGCATAACCTCGTTTAACTTATTCCGCTGCACTTAATAAATCAAATTGTTTGGTCAAGAGGACACACAGCTTTCATTTTATGTCTTACATCAATCTTCTGACATTCAATTCTCTGATTGCTTGAGGCCTGAATTGGGCTTCAAGTCAAATACAATTGAGAGAAAACCTGGTGGAATGAGATCTCTTGTACTCCAGATATCTTTTAGGACATCCTCAATTAATTAGCAGTGCGCGAAGAAATACTTTCGGTGAAGATGTTGACTACTTTCTGGCCAGTGATCAGTGTCCTGGCGCTCCTGAGTGTCGCCACGGCTGAGAGGGCGGCCAGTACGGAGTTGCGAGACGATGCTAGAGATATGTTTGAGCCTCGTCTCGCCATCACAGTGAGTGCAAAGCATCACAGAGTGGAAGTGTCGTGGTATTACTCCAGCTATGAGGTGGGAGACATCATCGTGGTGACGAATGAGGTGCCAAATGGGAGCTTTCGCAGGAAGAACATCCAGGAGCCTGTCGTGGAGGCTGTGCGGGAGGGCAGTGGACTGTCTGAGGCGGGAAGTGGTTCGGGAAATGGAGATCTTTACGAGCCAGGACTGCTGAGTGTGATTCCACTGTTTGATCCTGTGAGCAGTTACGAGGAAGTCAAGAAGCGATCAAGGAATGTGCGCAACAACATCAATTGGCAATATGGGCCGAACTACAGAGACGTCCTCGTCGAAATGTATCCCCAGGACAAACAAGGATGGGCCACAACAGGTAAATCAAGCAAAAATTGCAACAGAATAATTAATACCATAACAATTAGATAACTTCAATTATAATTACTTTTTTAATTAAACAAGCATAATTTCCCGGAATTCTAATCGCATTCGCAGAAAAACGATAAGTTTTTCCATCTTTCTTTTAACAACCAAAGCTTAAAACATAGATAAGCACCAGTTATACTTAGACTTTTGATAGCTGTTCTTAGGAAAGTTACTAGAAATGATAAAAAAAAACATTGACTTTTCTTTTAAGAAATTTGATAACGCGAAACCTCGATTTTATTGTCTAATTTTGACAATATGATCATAAAGATATCGTAAATTTTGAGATTTGCGGTGTAAAAAGCAATTCAGACAAAGCCTTATTCTTATCAGTAACCTTATTTTTTCTTATTTATTTAGGGCTTAATTTTGGCAATTTACAAGAGTTGTTCGTCTACAAAGTCAGTCATAAATTTTATTACAATGTTCTCTATAGCAAAATATTTTCAGTCTGCGCGGTAAACAAATTGAGGATCATAAAATTTGTGTGATATTCCAAATGACTCACGTGTTGCTGACGAATTTTCACTGTTTCACGTTGAATTCTGCATTTTCTAATATGTTCACACATCCACAGATATCATCTTTGATCGTGATCTCGTGAGGCAAGTGAACAGAAACACCACTTGTTACGGATATTGGGCGACAATTCTGCGCAAATCAGGAAGAATCCTGATGACTAGGTGCTTCCGCGCCTTTCCCACGTGGATGAACGATTTGCGTCGGAAGATTGAGAACCTGCGCTTCAAGGATCTCTTCATTCCCGGCACTCACGACTCCTCCTCATACATGGACAACTTCCATCCACACAACGAGACCGTCGTGACCAAGTACTCGCTCACGCAGGACGACGACATTCGCACGCAACTGCTGCACGGCATCCGATACCTGGACATACGCGTGGGTTACTATCGCGCCTCGAAGCCACAATTCTGGGCCAATCATGGCATATCGAGGCAGCATCCGCTGCAGGAGATCTTGCAGCAGATCAAGGACTTTGTGCAGGAGACAAACGAAATTGTGATTGTGGACATTCAGGAGTTTCCAGTGGGATTCGGCAAGACCAAGGATATCCACAGGCTTCTGGTGAATTTTCTACAGCAGGAACTCAAGGGTTTCCTCGTTGAACCCGGTCTCACATGGCGAGGGACTCTCAAGCAAATGTGGTCGTCCAGGAAGAACATCGTCCTGGCGTATGACAAATCATCCGTGGTGTACGAGTTTGGATCCATCCTGTTTGAGTCTGTGGAGCAACGATGGCCCAACAAGCAGACTCTGGATGAATTGAGGCGACACATGACCTTCTCCAGGAATCAAATGACTGGGTAAGTTGCATCTCTGGTCATTGGAAGAGACTGTGACTGTAAATTCCCTCTCGTTCAGGAGCTTCGGCAACCGCCCGTGGGCGGAGATGGCAGAACTCACGCCCAGCGCTTGGGGAGTCATCACGGATCTCTATGGCGGACTGCGAAGGATGGCCGACGATGTGAATCGCCACGTGTCCAGGTGGTACGCGAGTGACTTCGGGGCAGGAGCCAACGTGGTGGCGCTGGATTTTTACCGTGGCACCACGATCATCGAGACGGCTCTGCGTTGGAACGCCATAAAGACTGTTTCATGATTGAATTTCAAATAAACTCACCTCTGAGCAACTTTTCCCCTTTACACACACACACACACCTTTGCACACCTGCTGATGGATCGTCTTCTGTCGCCTCTTTAGTTGTGTTGCCCCGGCGATAGAGAAAGAATCAACAATGGACTGGGACTTGAAATCCGTTCTCAAATCCAAGGTGAGTCTGGTGGAAATCCTTATTTCCTGCTCGTAATTCTCGCATTGGACTTCCCGGAAGGCGTCTGTGAAGAAAGGAAGGCGCTCGAATGCGGAAGGAGGCTCGAAGAAGGATGATTCCGTCAGCTCACCAGTGACGGAGGAGAGGGACTCAATTCTGGGCAATGACTTTGACATCCCATCGATCGACGGGCCGCCGCAGAGAGCACGCAAGATCGGCGGTTGGGCCGATGAGACACAAAAGAGCGGAAAGTATGCTCAAATACATCTTAATTATTAAACTATTTTTCTCATCCTTAAATCCCTCCTTACAGGAATAGAACTTCTATAAACCTAATTGAGCAGTAAGTATGACAAGAAGACAAGTTATCACAGGCTCTTCTAATCACCAATTTAATTAAATAGGGAGAGATTTCAACAGTCAAGTTCAACGGATAATGTTGAGGATGAGATTCCCACAATTCCAGACTTGGATGATATGCAGGACGATATTCTTTTGAACGACATTGCTCCGTCTCACTCGTAAGTTTCGTCTGTACAGCAAATCTCTGGTGGATTTCCTTTTATATAACATGATTTTGCAGAATCTCTGTGAAAATGGCAGCGACTTACAAGGCCTTAAACTCAGACATGACCAAACTGAGTAACTTGGCATCCTTGGAGGATGTGGATCTCAGTCTGCTGACAAAGTGCCTCCAAAACGAGACCACCGAAGAAACGGACGAGCCCTGGTACTGGGAGGAGCTCTTCACATCCGTCTCGGCGGAGATCAACTCCAGCAAGTCGCCCAGCAAAGCCATCAGTCCTTTTCTGCACTGAAACACTCACTCTCTTGTACGGTCTAAGTAAGAATTTATTTACACTCACTCGCATTCCTTCAGTCGTTCTCGAATCTCACGTCGATGTCCTCAATGATGGCATTACCCACAACGCGCTCCTCATCCTCCTGGACACTCTGCGCACTCGCCACGAGTCCATCATCGTCCGCCTTCTGCAGAATCTCACAAATGAGCGGCGACTCCACGCCCAGAATATACTGACAGGTCTGTGGCTCGAGAAGGTACAGCGATACGAACGTCTTGGACGTCACATTCTCCAGACACTTCAGCTTCACCTCCGTTTCGCGCTTCTCACCAGTCTTGTCACACTCTGAGCCACCCTGATAAAAGTGTGTGAGCTCCGAGCGGACGTTCTTTGGCTTCGGTCGCTTGTGAGGATGCTTTTCTATCCACTCGCGATGCAGTTTCTCATCGAAGAAGCCCAGGATGAGAGATGTCTCTCCGTGATATTGTCGCACATAGCGACCGTAGCAGAACTCGTACTTCCACCAGCCGGTGCCCTGAAGGAGAAGACTTGATTGACATCGCAGTCCTGATAAACTTATTGAAATCACTCACCCCAGTTAAGCAGTGTTTACCCTGCAGGAAAGCCTCCACGGGAGTGGTGTCAGTAATGGTGTCCGTGAGCTTTGTCACCTTCTTCGGTGGTGATTCAAGAGGATCACTGACTTCATCCTCATCGAAGTCATTCTGCAGAATCTCCATCCTCAGCGTTCCATCCTGTGAAATCACAGCCAAATAAGTTCTCTAACATTCTCAAAGGCACACATCCTTTTGCGGTGGGTGAATGTCTCAAAACAGGCACAAACAGACGGACAAAATGATAAAATAAAGTATAAAACACACCTTTGCGTCTACTTTAAAAACAGCTATTGTGTCCTTTGCATTTTGATGAGCGTTCTAAAGGAGCGAATAAATAAAACAGAACCAAACTAAGTGATGCGCAAGACAAAGCTGAAGACACTGAGTGAACTTGGCTTACCGAGAGCTTCTGGTAGCGCAGCTTCATGCTGTCCACCTCCATCGCCAGCAAGTTGCGAGGCTTCTGAGGCGCTGAGCCCACTGGATAGCAGTTGATATTGTTGTCACCCGTCTCCTGAGGCCGGAATTTGGGGTGCAAGCAGAGATTGGGTGTCAGGATGATCATCTCGTAGTTACACGTGGAGGTTTCCTTGAGCGAGTAGATGGCATTCTTGCCATGAGCATAGCAGACGTAGAGAACTTTCGTGACTCGTGGCTCATTGTTGATGTCGCAGATCGTTCCGTCGGCCATCTCGAGCTCAAAGTAGGGCAGATTCAGACTGTCTATCTTCTTGTACTTCAAATGTTCCGTATTCTCCTGATCCTTCTGTGCCAGTTTCTCCTTCAGCGCATCATTCTTCCAGTCCCAGCGACCCAGAAAATACTCTTGTGTCTTCACCGATTTCCCGTCTCTCTCCTCGTGGAACTGCTTCACGTACTGCCCGTGGCAGACCTCATACGTCCAGTAGCTCTCTATCCGGATGGAGCACTGCGACGAGGCGAAGAGCGGCATCAGCAACTCCAGAGGACCCAGACCGACATAAGAGGCGCTGCTCGTGTCTTCAACCGTCTGAACAGGTGGGATCATGCACTGGTACTTCTCCTTGTTGCTCGTGGTGACTAGCATTGGCTCAGCGCCCTCGGCATCCTGCTGCAAGTCCAGAAAAATGCCCACAATCAATAAGACCTTATCACGAGGCAATCAATCTACCTACCAAGTCATCAGTTTTTCCTGGCCAATTGATTTTATACAGAATATTATCATCAAACCCCTTGAAGTCAGCCTCTAGCGCCGTGACCATGCACAGCCACGCGACAAGTATAATTTGCACGAAAAACAACTCCATTTTCCCTAATTTCATTGTGAAAAACTACAATTTTTACGCAAACATTTTTGGGCTGATGTGGTTTTGGAACTTCCACTGACAGTTGCTCAGTTTTCCCCTCCTTTCGAACACTCCCACCACTCATCGAATTGTTCTCCGCCCCTCCAGGTTCTCTGTTTACGTTTTCTGCGATCGCACGTTTTCTCGTTTCTTCTGAGAAAAGTGCAATTTTCAGAGTGAAACTCTCGATGAAATTAAGAAAAAGTATCTGAAAGTGATTGGGCACAATGTCGGCAAAGAAACAAAAGAGTGACACAGTGTTTTGGTATAAATGCGAGCAATGCCAGGTGTTTATAACCTCAAAGCATACGGCTTCCCATGCAAAATTCTGCCCAATTTCACCGGAATGCAGGAACAGTAGTTTCATTTCATCCAGAATCCTGTACACAAGTGAGGTGAAGTCAATTCCAACTCCTGAGGCAGCCACAGAACTGGATTCTTCTCAAATATCCAAGCTGATCTTTGTGGGAAGTTCAGCAATGCAATTGTGTGGATGGTTTTCCGGTGATGAAATTCTTATTAGTGTTCCGGAGATTCCAGATTTCATCGCACGCGTGAGGAGAATCTTCCCACAATCTGTTGATTCCTTTGCAACCATTAATTTTACGGAGAATGGTAAAAAATGCAGTGAATTTGAAATGAATGTTTAGTCATTTTTGGTTTCTCTTTCTAGAATTCAAACAGAATTGGACAAACTATCAGGATAAGCAGCTAAAAATCTCCTCTATACCTTCTGATATCCTTCCTGCAGAGAAAATTGAATTTATATTAAATGAAGATGAGGAGATTGGAGAAAAACACTTGACAGACTTGCTTAGGAATCTGAAATTTGACTTGAAAAACTGGATAGTCTTCAAAGGATCCCAGCAAAGTATTAAGTTTTACGGGAGGAATTACAATTTCACAGTGAAATCGATAAATTCTGATGATCTCATTGAGAAATTGAACAGATTGGATATTAACAAGGCGGAAGATTCACCAGAATATTATCGAATACTGCAGAGCACTCGTTTTTTCCTCAGTGAAAAGTGTATAAAGAGAGAGAAAAAGCTCATGGAAGAGGAAAACACCGATCCAGTAATTGGAGGAATGGATAAATTAATAGAAGAGGCAAAAGGACTGATGAATCCTGTTCTGAGAGGGAAATCTCTTGAGCAAAAAGCCAGAGTCTGTCATGGGATTCTTTTTCACGGTCCTGCTGGATGTGGAAAGACACTTTTATGCAATTTTCTGGCTTCTACTTCAAACGCCAAAGTAGTAACAGTGAATCCCCACAGGATTTTCAGCAAATACTTGGGGGAAGCCGAAGTTACTCTCACCAGACACTTCCAAGAAGCCTACACGAACTTTCCCGATCCAACAGTGATTGTCATAGATGATATTCATATTCTGTGTCCCAAAAGTGAATCTACAGACGCTATAAGGCGAGTTTCTGCAGCACTTTTGAGGATTCTCGACGAGTTGCCGTTCCGAAAGGATGCTGGGAGGATTTTTGTACTCGCTGCAACCACGGATCTTGAGAAGACAAATCCTGCTCTGCAGCGTAGTGGTCGTTTGGACTGTACAATGGAGATTTCTGCGCCTAGCCCCAATGAGAGACTAGACATCCTCAAGAAGTTCCTGCTCACTGTGCCTAACAGTCTCACTGAGGAGGAGATCAGAAGATTTGCCGATGTGACTCATGCCTTTGTGGGTGCAGATTTGTCTGCCCTGGTGGGAAAGGCGATGGGAAATGCTGCGAAAAGGAGTTCAGGAGTGACGGCAAATGATGTGAATTGGGCTCTCAGCACAATCAGCCCAAGTGCCATGAAGGAAGTGCTTGTGGAGGTGCCGAATGTCAAATGGGCGGACATTTGTGGGCAACACGAACTGAAGTTGAAGCTTAAGCAAGCCATTGAGTGGCCACTGACGAATCCTGAAGTCTTTCCCAGATTTGGCATCGATCCACCACGTGGAGTGCTGATGTACGGCCCGCCGGGCTGCTCGAAGACTATGATTGCCAAGGCTCTGGCCACTGAGAGTCGTCTCAATTTCCTCACAATCAAGGGTCCGGACATTTTCTCAATGTGGGTGGGCGAGTCTGAGCGTGCTGTTCGGGAATTGTTCAGGAAGGCGCGCAGTGTGGCTCCTTCGATAGTGTTTTTCGACGAAATTGACGCAATTGGCGCTGAAAGAGGATCAGAGTCGGGATCTTCGGTGAAGGAGCGTGTTTTGGCGCAACTCCTCACTGAGCTAGACGGTGTGACATCGCTGGATAGTGTGACCATTGTGGCAGCTACCAATCGGCCTGACCTCATTGATAGGGCTCTCTTGCGTCCTGGACGTATTGACAGGATTGTGTTTGTTGGACTGCCTGACAAGGAAACTCGCAGGGAGATTTTCGAGATAAAACTGAGGAAAATGCCCGTGGGAGAGGATTGCAGTGTGCAGCAACTGGTGGAACTCACGGAAAAGTACTCAGGAGCAGAAATACAGGCTGTTTGTCGTGAGGCCGGAATCTCCGCCTTGGAAGAGTCACTGGAGGCTACGGAGATTCATTGGAGACATTTCCAGCACGCTCTAGAAGCCATACGACCCCGAACCAGTCCAGAGTTGCTTAAGATATACGAAGACTACGAGAGGGACTTCCAAGCGCAGCAGTGATTGAGTGCAAATTGAGGTGAGTGCAGTCAATAAAATGTTGCCGAAAATTCCCATGAAACTTTCAATTCCTACGTTGAGGAAGGAGATAATTTCATTATTTACAGCGTAAGTGTTTTATCTCCGTCCTCTTGTTTCACACTCTGTGGCAAGATGAAAGTGAAATTGTTCAGCCTCATTTCGGAGCAGCTTCCAAGATTTGACGCCAAATATTTATTGCTCTGAATATCTTCAAATATTTGTACACTCGTTAACGTTATTGAATACTTGTGAGCCTGTGTGACTCTTCTACTTGGGCGTCTCATGGCATGTTGCAGCACTTGCGTGGCATTATTATCTCATGAGATGCTGTAAATTGTGTGGTTTGCAATGAAGAGCCTCTCTTGAAAACACTCTCAATCATGTTTGGGGCGTGACAAATTTCCCGGGAAAGTCGATGTCACACGGTTGAGAGCACTTTTGGACACACCCCGATTGAATTATCATGCAGAAATCAGTGAGAAAGGCAGCTTCAGGACTCCTGCTGACACCCCAAAAAAAAAGTCCCTCTTCACCACTTTTTGCCTACACCTTCGTCTACAGTGGGTTTTAGCGTCTGAAACGGACTTTGTAGACAGACAAAAAATCTACCGGCAAGCATTCCATCATGCTTAAGATGACAGTTGGCTGAAAAAATGCAGAAGAACCTGTTGATTTCTCTTACAAAAACATCCCTCTATAATTTGCCGGTTAATCACTACATTGGATTTAATAGTATTGAGTGAGGTTTTGTGTCTAAAATCAAATTTCTATCGGGGTTTTCAGGTAAAATGTTTAATTTATCATTAGAATTAATCCTTTAGTGAGACCGTGTAATTGATGAACGTGTCTTGTCTATTTAGAGAGGCAGAAACAAATTACCTTCGGCGATGAGAACAAGTTATTATTATTCAATTGAGACTTCATCGAGAAGTATTAACTGACAAATTACTGCAAATTGTGTAGATTGCAATTAATAAATTTTTGCTAATGTCTTCTTGCAAAGTCTACTGGTAAACTTCGCTTATTTAATGAATGCGCGAATTGAAGCTCAAATGCCAGTAACACAAATTCTGCGCGAGAAATTCCGGTCAATGCAATTTTGTCATTGATTGGAATGAAAGGAAAGATTCCCGTGAGAAAAGACAGGTTATTTGGGGATTAGCATCATATATAATGGCAATTAAATGTGATTATTTTTCACAAATTGAAGACGGTCCTTGATAGATGCGAAGAGTGTAAATAATTTTGCAATATACTTCTTGTCGATTAAATTCAAAATATTAGTTGATATAACGTCGTAAATTATGATAAAGCTTTTGAGGTGTAAAGCACAAGTTTGTCTCCAAATTCTCTTTCTGCTCACCTCGATAAAATCATGAGCATCAAACACGTGAGAGAACACATTTGTTTTGATGCAGCAGCGCGCGCGTTAATAGAAAAAAGTCCCCCTTTTTGTCAAACACTGCGACATTCGACAGTAAAATCTATGAGTTATTCCGTGGGACGAGAGATGTAAATTGTGCAATCTCGCCGTCTCCTCTATTCACTAATGGCATTTTAGCGTACACGAGACACTTCTTGGTACTCTGCGACCAGCATCAATGGGCCCAGTGTTAGTTTTTTTCACCATAACTCTCTGTGTCCCACATCATTATCACTATTAGTGTCTTTACATGGAAATTATTATTATACATATGTATATTTTGTATCCATTCAACGCCATGAAGTGTCTCAAGTCAAGGCCGAATGGTGCTACTTGTAAGTCATCTTTATTGAATTATTTGTCTTGCGCCGCTGCGGAGGAGGCACAAAAAGCCGAAGAAGAGCCTTAGAGATTTCAGAAGAAACAAGCCTTTCTTTATGCCACCAAATCAATGTTTTGTGCACAGGCTTTTGATGATAAAACATTAGGCTCTGGTGAGATTGTTCAAAGAAATCTTCGTTTTTCCACTGGCTGTTTGATGTGTGGAAATGCACACACTCGTGATGGATTTAGCAAAATCACGTACGAAACATCAAAGTCTGCATGCAGACCTTCTATAAAGTGCGTGTATATTTATATTTTTATCCAGTTTGCCCAGATTAACAATTTAAAAGGCGAGCTTTATCAATCACACACTTTGCTTTGAGAGGAATGGAGGAGAAGAGGAAAGAGTCTTCACTTAAGCATCTTGCTATTTTTATCAATTAGAGACACTCTCTGAGTGAAATCACAAAAATCTTCTCCACTTTAGCGCTAATAATGCGAGAGATTTGCTCGGAGGAAAAGACACTGAGAGACCGAAAGATCTCCCATTGATCTCATAAATTCCGCTGAAATTGCAAATTCGCCGAATTCGCTTGTATTTATGAACTCCGCACACAGTCCGAAAATTTATAAATATTGCACTCAATAATAGAATTTTGAGGGGAGGAAATATTCTGTCATGTATTCAATGTATCTTGTCTCAAAACACCATCTTCACGCGGTAATCTTTAAGCCACTCTCCACTTGTGAGCATTAATTATTTTGGCACCATGTCAAATAAATAATCGTTCGAAATTGTGACACACATTTCTGCCTTGGTGAAAATGAGAAAATCCCAACTATTTTGCCCCTTATAATGGCACGGCGCACGATTTGTTGAGACTTTGTGCGAAGAATTTGATTGACAAAATAATTAATATTGGTTACATTTCATCAGCCAAATGTCGGAATGTTCGCACCACGCTTAATTTGTGATTGAAAATTGTAACATTCATCATGGCAATGAGTGACAAGGGGCAGTTTATGCTCAATTTTCAGCAGGACATGCTACAATTCAGTTCAGTTGATCATCATTTGGTGGAATTTATCATGAGAAAGACTCTTTCTCTTCATGGCACCAGTCTGAGCCAGGAGGGAAGAGACCTGCAAGTGTGATCAGGCGAAATGATGATGAGTCACACAAAAAGGCATGAAGACGCTCTGAGGTATTAACGGAATGTACAGAATCCCAGAGTAAGATTGTCTCGGAGATGCGCATGAGAATTACGCATCTCAATAGTGTAATGAGTTTTAGAGTGAGGCCAAGACGACACATCCGATAAAGTGTATAGAGTGAGAATTTTAATTAAGATAAGTTGTTCTTTTACCACCTCACATTTATTCATTAACTCTCATCATTTTCTTAAGATGAGTAGTTAAGAAAATCTGCTTGAAATGCTGTTCAAGTTAGTCTTCTCGAATCTGCCTTCTTCTATTCCATAAAAATTTCGGTCCATTTTGTTCATACTAATGTTATTCAACCGCTTCCGGATGCAATAAACTCGATCCTAAATGCATGCGAAAGTACAAACCATAGCAGAGTTTGCGACATGGCGTGTAAAAGCCTATTATTTCAATCGTATTCCCCAGTCAGTCCGTGTATGTCACCAGAGATTTCCTGGCTGCATCAATTGTTATTGATCGTATTGATTTATTTAGAGGTTGTAAATTTTTTTTAACGACTCACCCGAATTTCCAAATCAGTCATCAGTCATTCATTGTGGTTCGTTCGGACAATGTTTGGCATGTAAAGTTGATTCTTTTGGCACGTTTTGTCAATCACAAGTGACAATAGCAAGAATATTCTACCGAATCGGCGTGGATTGTTGCCTCACATCGTTCTCAGGCACACAGAATGATTCCCATCCATTGCATTCGTTGAGGAGATTGAATTTTATGACGGTATTTGACATGGCGAGTGATGTTTGTATGAAATTAATGGATCCATTGGTTGGCTTTTGTTGAAGCTCGGGGCTCGTCGCATATTGTTGTTGGGGCTTTATTTTGGTTGCACCAATTGTGCATAAGAGGAGACTCCAAAAATGTAATTCATCCGTGTGTTTATTCTGTGGAAATGTGCAGTTCAGGAGGCGGAGGGAGGATGATGTATATTTACACATGAAAAAGAGTGCGATGGTATCATTCTCTGTGCACAGAAGATCATCATTTGTCGATGGGCTGAAGAATGACTTTATTGTTGACTGGAATACACGCGTGTACAGTGACTCTCTGGATGCCTCTCTTTATTCATGAACTTCCCAAGTGACGCGAAGGAGTTGCACGATGTCCCAAAAAGAGACAAATTGATCCAGATGAGAGATTCTCTTTTTGCCACATTATATGGAAATACAGTGATCGTTGAACTGGCAATGTGCAGGTTGAATGGGGCGACGACGATGGAGGAATTGAATCATTATTCACGGTCGTGAGTCCGCCACCGAGATTCAGCCCCCGGAGAAGGTGTGATCGCCAAGCGATTGTTATAGCATCTCTCCTCCGAGCGTCGACATTCTATGATCGATCGCCGCCATGGTTGGCCGATCAGCGGCGGTTGTAATAACTCAATTCACAATTTTCAAATTGACTGACGGCTGCTGATGGTTGAGTATATCGATAAGTGATTTTTCATTTAGTGCCTCTGATCTACACTTATAATTTTCTCCCTGGCTTACCTCACTTTCATCTTAATCCCATTTTCAACCCTCTGTTGTTGTGTTTTCATTCAGAAGCAATCTCCGTCTATTTCGTCTACATGCGCTTTAATGATGTGCTTTTGAAGGCATCCGAAACCATCTTGTACATGGTGATCTAACACTTTAGTAATCTGTATTGGGAGACGCGAACGGCAATAAATCAATTTTAATTGTTTTTCCTAATGATTTTGAATAAGCAAAACAAATGTTTTAACATATAATAAATAAGAAAAAGTAGGTATTGTGTGTGGGTTTTATTCCATGCTCAATTCCATGACCACTGAAAGTCTTATTTGACTAATCAGTCTCTCTGCTGCCATGCCTTTGATCACGAATTTTACACACTTTTTATGTCCTCGCGCTAAAGATATTAGATTTCAATCGAAAACACGAATGTCTGAAATACACCTTTGCCTGTTTGTTTCAAGTCAACAATAAAACTATGTCTTCTTTCACTTTGTCAATATAAAATGGTGCAGTTATGAAAAGGGAAATGCCATTTTCAGGGCCACTTGAGAGCATCCCCAATCACAGCAATGAGCACCGCCCGTATGTTAGCTGTGCAGTCTTGTTCAAAGACAATTGTCTTCAATTTATGTGTGACCAGAAAATTTGTGTGGGAAGGAAGGGTTAACGAATACCTCTTCAGTGAAAAGCATTTCATTCATTGATAAGTGTGTAATAAGAGAATTCAGTGTGTTCCGGACTTGGGCGTTAAGAGAGAACTGGGCAGAAAAGATGAATGGTTATCGTTTCAAGATCAATTCTCAGTTAATCGTTAATGCCTTAGAAAGTTGGGCTAAAAATACTGTGTGTGCATACGGAGAGTGAAGAAGTTAATGATGGTAAGAATAAAAGGCGCACTGTTGGAAATATACATTGTGTTAAAATCTCATGGCTAAATAGCCTACACACAGAGAGCGATATGAGATGTTTTATGGCGACCTATGAACTTTATGTAATACACAGAGCATTCCGTGAATAAATTTTTAAATGCTTCCAAAGACTCTCATTGTGAGGTATATAATATCTTGTAGTCAAATTAAATAACAAACTTCAATTGATGAATTCGAATAATGAAAAGTACCATTGATAGTGATTGGTGTTTCTCTTTCTTCTCTGTATTTATAGATCTCTTCGGTTATTGAATGGTAATGTGTCAGCGACTGGATGATGGAGGCTCGATAGGAGTGGGAACAGCACGTGAAAAAGAAGGAATCGTGAGAGACAGATGAAATTGGATCAAGGTGGAAGTCATTATGGAGGAATCTATCGTGCCGGGTGGTGCATTTCTTGATCACCTGAGCCAGATCTGCGCTGCGCCGAGACACCACTGCTGGTGGAGGGATCGTTGGGAAAAGGCAATGAGGTGAGTGATTAATTTTTTTTTTCACGATCCTGTATCGAACGGCCACTTGTGAGTTAATTTCGAGTGTTGTTAAATATTTGTCTCGCTGTTTATTTTCCTTTGCAATGTAATTTCTCATTTTTTCCGCCTTCTTCAATTTCACTTATGATATTTTTGGGAGTTGTGGTTTTTCTTTTTGAGATGTCGAAGAGAAGGAAAAAAAAACGGTTGAGAGGAAGAGTGTGTGTGGAGAAAAAGGAGATGCTTGGGGAGGAGAGATGCCTAAAGATGCAGAATACATGACTGAAGCGACAACACTGTAATATTGGGCTTCGTACGGAAAGAGAGAAAGATGTGTGTGAATCTCTTCGGTTCGGTTAAACTCTGTGCTCGATCATGAATTTGGTTTAGTCGACGTTCTGCTCACGACGAGATCACTTCATTAAGTCACTCGGTCGCCACGATTGCGAGACGGTCGCCAGAGTTTTGCTAATTAAGAGGACTTTTTGGTGTGTGGAATTCGAATTGCTGAAGAGGATCCTCGGCATTCTCGACGGTGATCTCTTGTATTGATGATGTGTTGACTGAAAGATCGCTGATGAAGTGATTGACGACAGTGCAATTATTGCTGAGACAGCGAGAGACACTTGATATTTATACAAGTTTATCAATTGTGCCGTGATCTCGCTTGAGTGAAGACAACTGAGCAGAGGAAGAGAGAGAGAGAGAGAGATCGGGATCATTTTGGGCGATAAGATCAAGTCAGTGTAGCGAAGTAGCAAAGTGCGTGCGTGTCGTGAGAATTTTTCAATTAACTCAATGAGCCTCTGTGCAATATATCGCATGAGACACAGTGGAAGATCTCGAGGCGCTTTTGTGGTACAAGGCATAATTGCTAAATTGACTCAATCTCTTCTTGCACACTTCAATTAAAATCAGCGATAGTGTTTCCACCCTGTTGTAAAGTGAATTAACATCTTGCGGCTGTACCAACAGATTGACTATAATAACCTTTATGTATCGCGCGGAGGACAAATATTTGTTCATCATCGTGTTGAATGACAAGTAGCACGGTTTTTTAGCTCTTCTTTCACTCTCAATTTATGGTGATTGTGGCGTTTTTTCACCATTAATCACATTCGGAGTTCAATTATAATCGCGATGAGTGCGTGAAGAGTGGAGGCAAAAAGTGATTCTTTTGAGCTTGCCGATTTGTCTTCTGCACGCTTTTTTTTCCCGCTTCCACTCACATTGAACTTCCTCCCAGTGGAATTTTTTCCATTGATTTCGCGGTATCTTGATCGTCGGAACTCGCTCTCAACTATCTGTGCTCGGAGAAGTAATACTGTGAATTTATCAAGAGTGTGAAAAGCATTGAGGAAGTGAATCAGTTGCTTTCAACACTTGAACCCTGATTTAGTTTTTGAGGGCGGAAAATGAGATTGGTAAACCACAAATGCATTAATCTTCCACTCTGTCTCAGTGATGTTCATTTGCATCTAATGATGTCGGACGATCGTCAAAGAGTCTGACAACTTGTGCAGTAAAGTGTTTCCATAAAAGTTATCTTCATCTCTATCATCGCGAAGAGTGACAACGGTCTTGTCGACGAGGCAATTCTGCAGGGAGATTAGAGGAATTTATTGAGATTTTATGGATATCCTTCGGCACATTGTGAGACTTCAGCGCGAGCGTGTGTTTCGAAATTGGCCGCTCGGAGAGTTGAAATAGGCCAATTTTAGTGGGTGTAGCTGTGTATCTGGACGGCCTGTCGAACATTTAGGAGAGAAGTGCACAAGTGTTTGGCTCGATCATTCGTATATATCAACGTCTATAAATTTCCCAAAGCACTATTGGTACTCTCTGTGTATCAGACGGGGAGACTATTGTATAATAGCGTGGAATTGTGCGTTGGTGAGAGTGTGGAAAATTGAAACATTATTAATATGTGCTAATTTATTGAGTGACGAATGTTAAGACTTTCAATTGGGCGAGTGCTTTGAGAGACTAATTAAAGCCTGGGACATAACAAGAGGAAGAGACAGAGGAAGGAGTGGGCAAAAGGAAGAGCGAGAGAGTTAATCATAAATCGTAAATTTAAATAAAGCCACTCGACTGTCTTGCTACTCATTCGCGCACCGAGTGTTGTATTCCACTTGGAGACACAATTATATTCGTTCATAAAAGTGTGTATTATATCCAAAAATGAGCTCTTGCAGTGAGGAGTCTGCCTAAGCAGAGGCGGTGGTGGAAAGTGAGAGAGGAGTTGATATAAAAGTGTGGCGAGACACATTTAATAGTGTTGTTAAAAGAGGGATATTGTAAAAAAGAAGAATCAGAGACAATACGATAAAGTTTGGTGAGGGAGATAACGTGTGTGTTGTGGGGCGAAAAGAGCGGCAGCTGAAAGTGTAGTTGGAGAGTGAGAAAATTTCACCTGAGTGGCGACAGTTTTTGTGCAAGTATTTGCTATTTCAACACCCAAGACGTTGGAGCCGTGTGAGAAGATGTTAATTCTCGTGAATTACATGAGTTTCTGGAGCTTCAGAAAAAGGAGGTATTGTCGTTAAAAAAAATCATCTCGAGTAGCCAGCGTGAGAGAAAGAAAGGCGTGCATCTGACGAAGAAAGATAGCAGCTGGAGGAATATATCGTCTTGTGTTTTTCCCCGCGGATTGCACAACGGTGCGCACATAGCAGCTCGAAGTTGACGAAAGCCAGGCTGAAGACGGAAGAGTGGATCGCGAGTTTGGCGGACGACGTGAATTGATTGAAGAAGGAGGATCACACGAGTAAAAAATGCCTACAAATCAACCTCATTCATCCATTTTCAATATTGTGATACTCCTGCTGTGGCTGATGACCGACAGTGGATGTGGTCATCACCCTCAAAGTCACCAGCACAGCCACAATCTCCACTCACAGAGGCACCACCGTCATGCACTGCAATCGGCCGTGGATGATCGTGGCAATTTCTCGACGGTGCACCGGCACAAGAGGCCACTGTTCAACGAGAAGACAGACCGTGAGCGCATCCAAGACGCCGTTCGTGCGCTGCGCCAGCCCGTGCACAGATTCCACGTGAAATCCAGTATTACTACCACAACAGAGGCCAACCACCACAGACTGAGGCATCATCACGATCATCACAGGTGGCGTCAGGAGGCCTCGAGATCACCCAGTGCGTCCCATGCCAGACACCAGGCGCCCTGGTGGGCGGACTCCTCCGTGAAGCATCCGCGGTGGCCGCAGCACAACAAGGGCTACAGCAGCCTCAGTCGCAATCACGACCGGAGCCACGCAAGACACCACCACCATGAGAGGACGGATCACGAGGAAGTGTCCCATTTCACCACATCTGCGCGGCCCGTGAGGGCGTCTGCGCGGGCAGATCCTGCCGAAGCTTTCGGAGGCAAACAGCGGCCGGCAAGTTCACTGGTGAAGTCAAATGAGCGGTCATCGCGAGTGGGTCACGGGATCAGCGATAAGAGGACCTCTGACGATGACGAGTATCACGATGATGAGGAGCAAGTGGACAGCCTGAGAAACACCACCACACTCCACGGCGTCAATTCACAGCGGAGGCGATCCTATGTGAGTTAAAGCCGCGACAAGTGGTTTTTTTAGCGCTATTTTTACGGCCACGATCTTCAGTGATTCTCAAACGCTGAATCACTTCCCCTTTTTCCGCACAGGTCATCAGACACTTTCTAATTTTAGCACTGATGCACGGAGTGACAAATTGATGTGTGATTTAATGTAGTGTGCCATGATTCAATCAATCAAAGTTAGAAATTATTGTGGAAATTTTGCGAAGATCAGACATTTTGCATCAGACATGCAAATTCTCACTCATAGAATTGATCAATGGATCTAAAATTGATTTTAATAGAACTTGACTTTCTGCTTACCAAGGCCACTTTCATCGGCGGATTTCTCAGAATTGACAGTGTTTTGAACTTATTTCCAACTTGGCTGTTGATAAACTTGAAAATAATTTAGAGTTTCTGAGAAATTCGCGCAATGGGAAATTCTGCATGATGTCATAAACTGGCTTATATTTATCTGAGAACTAAATATAAGGAGTATTGGAGCAATAAGTAGAATCACTTTGCATAATATCATACAGAAAAATCGTGGTTCTTTTGTTTGATGCAAGAAATATCACAGAAATTATACTCAACAAGAACTTATGTCGCTTGCAATGGCTTGAAATGAGATCAAATTGGTTTCTTTTTCCACACTGTCGTTCACACCCTGAAAATTGTATGTAATTAATCTGAGAAAGCAGATAATTTTCATTAATTTATCATTTCACATCCCATAACTCCCATTTGGCGGGAACTGAAGATGACACGAGTGGATGCCTTGGCGATGGGGTTTCTGGTGTGTGGAGACAAAAAAAAGATATAGCATGAATGAAATAAATGGTGTAGCGCGACAGCTGAAAATTGCTCCAATAACATGAAAAGCCGTGATCCTCCTATTTTATTCCACACTAATTTATGGGTCTCCCCTCGGATGTTCTCAACACTGGAACGGCTGCCGTCGTCTGTGTGTCCATTCTAATTTAAATGATGTGACACTTTATTGGTTTTCGGTTGTTTTTACGACCAGACAATTTCAATGATGCTCTTCTCAAGACTTGTCCATCGTCAAGTGGGAGATAAAAACGTGTGCTGAAGAATTTTTCGTGATATTGGGGTCAATCTCGACTCAAGATCAAAAGTAATATGTAATACGAAGAGATGTTGGGTGTCCCTTTTAATTAAGTGTTGTGCGGATGACGAGAATGAGGCGCGTTTTTGAATTTTTCAATGCGAAGAAAGAACGTATGGTGTTTTTGTGTACATGTTTGTGAAGGGAAAGGGAGCTATTATAAGTAAGTGATCGGGCTTTATTGGTGTGTTTCACTATATCAGACACTATAATGAAAAGTTAACGAGACAATGTGTTCCATTTAAAAGAAATTTCACACCTCTTCTCATTTCTTTCAGTGGCAAGTCTTGTCGCTCTCTTCTGTACTTCTCTTGTACTTTCGTGATGTAAAGCAATTCAAGGTAGTTGATTTTATTGTCATGTTAATTTTCAGGTGATTTCACTGTTGGTCGCCGTGGAATATCAATGTCTCTTTTATCCACTCACACGATCGTTAACTGATTGTTAATCGGTTGGTCAGAAATGACTCAATTTCCACCGATTGTGTGCATCTCTCCTCTTCGTCAGTGAGAAGAATTTATGATCCATTTGGAGTGATGTTTGAGTGACGCCACTGAACCATAAATACTATATTATTCCTAATTTGTCTAATTCAGTTAATTGGCGTTGGAGAAAGAAAAGAGAGTTGGCAGTGCGATGAAAATACTGCCGCCTTTTTCAATTCACACCATCACCAATCCAGGCGCTATCGTACAAAATGCA